GAAGAGAGTATTTTTTCTTCTTGTCCTATTTCTTCTCGAGTGTAGTGCGCCGCTGCCCGGAAGCGAATGCCGCTCGACTTTTTTTTTTTTTTTTTTTTTTTTTTTTCTGAATGTGTTTGCTGTTGGCCGTGTGTGGCCTTTACAGCTTCACCGGACGCGAATGCAGGGGCGAGTGCTGATGGCACTCCAAGCCCGCGAGAGGGGAGCGACAGAGGTGTCGACTCTTTCTTATGGACTGCGGTGTGTGTGTGCGCCTAAGGGCGCCAGAGTGGCTCGGCCTCGGCTTAGGCCACCGCACTTCGACCCCCGTCGAGGGACGGCGAAGGGTCGGTACGTCTGGGTGGGTGAGATTGCGACGCGGTTGTTATGCGCTCGGGCGCAAACCTGATCGCGCGCGGACCGTGTGTCGCGAGGGTTCTTCGCCCCCGCCGGCGGGGGCGGTGTGTGCGATGTGTGGGTGTGTTTGTAGGGGCTCTTGTCGAGGGTTCCGCGGTAGGTAGGGAGGGAGACGCGTTTGCCGTCGTAGTTGGATCATCGGGGTCCAAGAGTGCGTGCCTCGGGCGACGACGTTTTGGAGCGACGTTCTCTATGGGGGGTTTGTATTTGACCGCTCTTACTATGAGCGGATTTGAATGGGACTCGGCTGAGGCAAAGTAGCGTCGAGACGCTTGCTTCATAAATTGCCTTATAGTGGGTATTTTGAGGTCGCGGTGTAGATCCACGTTGCGCACGTACCACGGGGCGCCCGTGGCCCGTCGCAGAAATTTATTTTGCACCACCTGACGGGGGTGAAGTAATGAAGGAAGGGCGTGGGCGAAGACGACACTAGCGTACGTCATCACCGGTCTTATACATGCTTTATAGAGCGTCAGCTTTGCGTTAAGCGACAATTGGCTGCGCTTGTTAATAAAGGGATGGAGGCGTCCCAGTATAAAATTGGCCAGGCCTCGGACGCGCTTAAGATGAGATGCGAAACTCAACTTGGAATCTAGTGTCACGCCTAGGTATTTGGCTTCGTTCGTCCAGGGGACGGGCGTGCCAAACAGCTGAATAGAGGCGGGAAGGGATGGTTTTCTTTTGGCCGTGAAAAGCACGGCGGCGCTTTTATCTGGGTTGACTTCGATGCGCCATTTTCTGAACCAGTAGGCCAGCTCGTCCACCGCCCGTTGAAGCCTGTTGGCTGCACAGGCGGCCGACGTGCTGTCCACATATAGGGCTGTATCATCAGCAAAGAGGGCGATTTGCACTCGGGGCTGACGCGGGATGTCGTTGGTGTACAACGAGAAGAGGGTGGGGAGAGGACAGCGCCTTGAGGGACGCCGGCTCTAATCGGTCGTGCGCTGGAACGCACTCCATTGACGCGATAGCGATATGACCTATTGGACAAGAAGGCTCGTATGATGTGCACGAGCCTGTCTGGCACTCCCATCTTGTGCAGTTTGAAAATCAAGCCGCTGTGCCAGACTTTGTCAAAGGCCTTCGCTACGTCGAGAAACAGGGATGCCGCTCGACGGGAGGCGGCCTATCTTTATACCCGCCCGCTCGCACGATAATGTTTCCAACTCGCGATAGCGATCTGTGCGAGCGGGACGGGGCGAAAATGAACGAGACGCGTGTCTCTTCAGATCGGTACTCTATAGCGTCTATTTATTTATTTTATTTCAATTTACAATTTCTTAATTCTATTTATTGTTACAATTTCTATTCGTAGGTAATAACGACAACACGCAAAGGAATACTTTATTTAACTTACACTATCTTAAATCTATGTAAATCTATATAAAATAACAGAATACAGAAACGATTAACTAGGGACTTAACAACTATAAATTACGATATATACAAATAATGTCGCGAACAAAGTATAATAGCTGAAGTGAAGAATATCATATAATATCATAACTAATTTATATCAATGATTATGCAGTCTATTCTGAGTGTTCTGATAAGTATTGTACTAGGTGAATTTTCCAGAATAATACACATGTGGAAAGGTGACTCAGATATTTGCGGGTCAATGCTAGTTCAATTGCGCGTTTATTGTTATTCTCACGTTGCTAAGAATAATAGGTATCTACAGGCTGCGTTAGTGATAAATAATTTAGTAGAACACATTACGTTAGTTTGTACTTTTTTTTTCTAAAATTGGTTGTTTTTTCTCCCGCGAAGGATCAGGCTGTGGAATGAGCTCCCTGTTGAGGTTTTCCTTAGAGACTACAGTATGGGTTTTTTTAAAAAGGGTATATTATGACACCTCTAGTGTTGCAAGGATTCATAGGTTACAATAACCGTTTACCATTAGACGGGCTCTATGCTTGTTTGCCACCTTTGTGGTATAAAAAAATGCAATGATATAAAATAAGAAGGAGCAATATCAGATGCGGATTTCAATGTTGTGTTCCTGAAGGTATAACTTAAAAAATTATGTATGTTTTATTTTGATACGTTATTTAGAAGTTGTCTAAATAATTGTTTTTTATACTTCTACAATTCATGCGTATAAAATTAAGGACAAAAAGCTAATCTACATCATTATTATATCACCCATTAACTGTACACTTTTGAAGACCTCTCCTTTAGGGTTTTTTTTTCAGTAGTTGCCACGCTTGGTAGGCTGTTGGCAACCCCAGTTAGGTTTTGGTGATGTTTTAAGAAGGACGCTGCTGCTTCTTCCTCGACCGTTAAATTTTCTTAGTCGCCTCTTGGGACACCCATGAGATAGGAAGTGGTGGCGCTTTCTGTGACGAGACCACACGGCTGTTATGTTTTATACAATTACGTATAATAATGCTTTATATTTCTAAGAGCAAAATGGTGTCAAGATCAAGCAAATCAATCACGAGTCACGATATAATTATATAATCATTATAATATTCCGAATGATGTTTTGTGTTTATCTTTGCCCTTGCGTTTTACCGGGTGGATTTACAATCTAATCTATATATGTGTACATTATCAATGTTTGATAACCGAATAGTTGTTATAGAAAAACAAGTTTTTACTTAGACATTTACACTAATAATTGCATTTTTTTATATTTGTATTAGCCGTTTTTATATTTTTAATTTTAAATAGGGTAAGCAAGCTGAAGTGGCAATGGGCTGGTCACATAGCTCGAAGAATCGACAACCGATGGGGAAGAAAGGTTCTTGAGTGGCGACCACGTACGTACGTACCTTACGTTCCCTCTGGAGGTCCTAATGAGAGTGTTTGTTAGATCATATTGCTAGCAGTATACTGTCAGGTGGACCTCCACGCGTTTCCCCCTGGAAATCAGGGCAAAGTGAACAGATTTTCTGCCATGCCATTCTAGTATCGAATAGAACATTTTCAAAGATTTAGATTTCCTTCTGCATTTACTTAATCATCGATTAAATGCTAATTGCCTTGGAGGGTCGCCATTAACAATTAAATTGATAAGCGGATGAAGTTATTATCAGCCATAATGGATAATTATTATTATTGAAATGTTAGTGACGGTTTACTTATTTACATAAAATTCTATAGCAATTAGTGTTAATAATATATTATATATAGTATTAATTATTCATTCCTACTAATGTATGAATGAATGAATTTATCTATAATCTATGAACAAAGCACAACAATGCTGTATGATAATATTTAAAATACGAAAGTCTGTAAGATATTAGGATGTTTGTTACTTAATTTCGTCGTCATTGGAGTGTTTAATACACAAGATGTGCAGATATTTACGCTATTAGTGTGTTCTTGTTCATATCGATGAATTTGTATAGAAATCTGAGTTTCTGAAATAATCCGCTAGAGGCGCAGTTGAAGAAGTGAACAGTAATGCAGTCGTAACCTAAGAACGAGGACTAGTGGTAACTAAAATTTTTGTACAACTCAAATTAGGCACTCATAATGAATTTAAATAAAAGATAAGAATCTTAATACACTTGGATGGGAGACGGGAAGAATATACCCTGTCAGGTAGACCTCAACATGGTCCCCCCTCGAAATCGTGCCAAATCCCAGGTGTATTCATCACTAATTGACCTGCATTTTCATCCTCATCTACCATCTCTCGCTGGTGCCCCGCTAACATATACCGTTAGTGCAGGCGGGGTTACCATGTTCATTATTATTAAAAAAAAAAACACCCGGACGAAGCGAAAAACGGGAGAATATTAGTAATAGGAATTAACTGCTTTATTACTAAGCCACAGATAATATAATCCTATACTAAATAATGTACTTTGTCAAGTTAATCTCCACACGGTCCCTTAAAGTTCATTCTCACCTTTGTCTTTCGCTGGAACTTTGTCAGCGTAAACTAACAGCCCAGTGACAGCAACCAATGCTGCTGTATGTGACGAATATAATATATCTGTAGGTACTTACGATATGACTTTATTTCATATGAAGATAGTCAAGGTGATTATTATAACTTAATATTTTTCTATGCAACTTAAAATGGCAAACAAGCTAACGATGGAAATAACCTTGGTCTATAGACTATAACATGCCTATATATTATTAGTTTGTTAATTGTGCATACTTTATTTGTTACAATGTTTTTACAAATATTTTCTTACGAAATAAGTAGTGCAACAATCTGCTGTCTATTCACATACTAGATGGCGTTGATGGTAAATGGTATTTTTCTACATTTAGTTTTTCTACAGAAATATTTACACATTATTTCATGATAGGTTTTATCTGCAATACGTTTTCCGGGTGTTGCCGTGTGGTCCCGCAATAGAATGGGCCATCCCTTCCTTTCCTGTGGGTGTGTTAAGAGGAGTTTAAGGGAACTTAATAGTCGAGGGATGGGTAGCAGCGTCCTTCCTAAAGTATCACCAAAGTTTAATTATGATTGCCAGTCCATCTAACAGGTGTGGCAAATCTATGTTCAGCAGTGGGCTAACTGCACAGCTAACATGATGCTGTTCTCCATACACCTTGCTGATATTATTCGGAAATCACACACTCACCACTTTTCTAACATATAAATGTATTAAGCATTAAAATTTAAGAATGTTTCAGACTTCTTTAATCATCTTAAAGCTAAAATACAGATCACAATAATATATTAGTTGTGTCAACAAAAATAAATACTATATTTATAATTAAGACTTCGACAATACTTCTTTCATGGCTAATTCTATTTTCAATTGCACACACGCCACCCTCTCTTGGAATATTTGATTGATTAAGCTCAGTCTTTTCTGCTCCAACATGGCATTCTCCTTTATCAGTCTTTGCTTCAATTCCTGATCTTCTGGTGTGTGATTCTCTTTATTTTCCTTACAGACTCCTTCCTGCTTCTTTAAAGCGACTTTCTCTTGACTCCTAAGCTTCACTATTTCGAACTGCTCAGAGTTTATTTTCGCTTGCAACAGTGATTTTAGCTGCAAATACTCAGCATTCTCCAATTGAAGTCTGAGAAGTTTTACCTCTTTCTCTGTAAGTTTTGGCTTTTCGATGACAGGTTCTGATGGAGGCGGGTCTTCTGCGAGGGTTTCCTTCTCTTTTTCCATTTTGAAATCGAAATTATCTTCGAATTCCGCTTCGAACTTCGGATCCGGTAGTTGTGGTGATTCTTTTATATCTTGGAATGCGTCGGTAGATGGGGTTTTCACTGAATGAGTTTTAATTTCTTCAAGGTGTGCGTCGTTTGGTTGTGAATTTCGTCTTACAATATCTTCTTCTGTTTTGTCATCGACTGACGGTTGCGGCGGCAGAGAGTTCGGTTCCACAGATTTCTGGACTGTCCTCAGTTTCCTCTGTAAATTGATACGGGTTGTTAAAGTAATATCTTCGTGACTAAACTTAAAAAAAGTCGTAAACGCTGCCAGAAGTAACTCAAAACATGCATGGCAAAAGTTTTTGCTCAAGTATGTTTTGGATCTAAATGGAGTTTTTGTTTTACCATATTATTTTTGCGACCGATAAGGTTTACTGATGACCGATTGGAGTTGCAGTTTTTGTTTGAGACACAAAAACTATTTATTACTAAGCAAAATAAAAATTGCTAATGTGACATTTAAAATTTAGCTTTTCACCAGTCTCTCTCTCTCTCTGTGTTCACAATAGAAGTTGTTTTTTCTAGAATAAAGTGTACTGTGTGTAGGATTTAATGAAAAAATAAACAAATGAATAATTGACCCTATCCTGTTGACAGTCTGTTGATATTAGGAGTGGGTAATATGTAGCAAAATCTATATTTTTTATTTAAAATATTTATATTTTATTTATTGCAATTTCTAGCTGATATCCAATAGTAGTACAATTAAAAAAAAAAAAGATTAATTGATTGAAAATAACTTCCAATAACTTTCGAGTATATTTGCAATAACTACAACAAAATTTGATTTAATAAATACTAGGTTTCTAAGAGGTATTTGTTTCACCTTGAGCTGTGTGACTATTCGCTGCGCCTCCCACAGTTGCTGGTCGCGAGCCTGCGTGATGAAGCCGGCGTGCATCTCTGCGTGGATCTGACTCAGTAGCGACTCCTGCTTGCGGAGTTCCGCGCTCATCTCGGCGGCGGACTGCGGGAAGTCCGCCGGCAGGGCTTGCAGTGGCGGAACATATCTGGAACGATGCAATGAGATCTCGATGTAGATTATATATAGATAGATACTCTTTATTGTTACCTCCAAAAGATTACAATAGTAAACTTATTATAAACATAAATTTTTATTATTACAAATATTCTATTATGGATGAAAATTGAATGGTAACCCTATGTATGTTATTTTTTTTTATTAGATAACGGAATAGTAACCCCACTCGTGCTATCGGATACTTTTTTTTTTTCAACTAAAAAAAAGGCAAACAGCAACGTCAACGGTCCACTTGACTCTAAGCTACTTCTCTTTACTATCCCCCTCCCTCTCACTGTTTATACTATTAGTATATGGAATACCGGTGAAGAATAATAGGTGAAGATAAAAAAGTCAGTTAACTAGTTAGTCTGTACTTCGTTGTAGTCCAGTAAAATAGTGAAAAGATTGCTCTCAGCAATAAGACCGCTTTACTGTACTTATACAATTGTATCGTTGTGTTTGTAAATTGCCTTGCTTATTTCCTATATTGCATAATGCAAATAAAGTATACTCATTCATAGTAGCTCACCTGGACATAAACATAGAGCTGTGGCCTCAGCATGGCGGAAAAGGGCATGGGTTCAATTTTTGTAATTTTTTTTATACAACTTAGAATGGCAAACAAGCTGACGGCCCACCTGATGGAAAGTGGAAACCGTCACCTATAGACATGAGCAGTACCACGGACATAACAGTGTATACTATTTCGCCCATGATACCCCCCATGCGTTGCCATTCCTGAGGACTCAGGTGTTATTCCTCTGTACCCAGTAAATTCACGCCATACACCGAAACACAGCTGCTTCACGGTTGAAACACGAATGGGACAGAGGTACCCAAGCAATCGACTTTTGTACAAAATCTCCCTCTGGCATATATTAATTATGTTATTCTATATAGGTATATATTATTACCTGTTATTATCTTTATCTATCCCAATAACGAAGTATCGCGTCCGTGATTTAATGTTTATCCCATAAGTTGACTGGTAGAGAGTGTTACTAGTATTAAGTGCGCCTTTTGTACTATACTTTCTTTTAGTCAATAAAGTTATTTAAATTAAATCTACATACTTGGTGAGCTGTACATCTGGGAACAGTTTTTCAGCTTTGGTGATGAAGTATGTGAGCAGGTTCAACGACATGTTCAGAGCCGGACCCATCACACTCGATATGGTTTGTATATTCACATGGTTCACCTAAAATTTTATCATAAAACTTTTATTTTAATTTTTAAGGGCTTTTACCTTCATCAGGTACATCAGCGCTATCATAGCCTGAATGGATTTCTCGGATAACATTTTAGCTACTTTGCCTGTTCATAGAAAGAGAGGAATTAATGGCCATCAATAATTTACAGAAATGTTAAAAAAAAATCTGATTTGGATTCAGCTAATTGACTAACTTGACTAACTTGAGATTGAATAAGACCAATATATAATTTATTTAGGTGAAAATGGCGTATGATTATTTTTCTTTCCATCGAGTTTATACGACATTTGAACAGTATATTACCATCACCATTAGCTGTTAACTGTCCACTGGTGAACATACGCTTCCTCTACAAGGCCGGTTTTGCTAGTAGTTGCCACGCTTGGCAGGCGGGTTGGCAACCGCAGTTAGGTATTGGTGGTTTTTAAAGAAGGATCGTGTTGTCCATTTTTCGATTATTAATTTTCCTTTGTCGTCTTTTAGGACGCCCACGGGAAAAAAGCGGTAGCCCATTTTAAGCCAGGATCACTCGGCGACTAACAGTATATGTTGAACATCATTATGGTATTTAGAATCGGTTTAGCAGTTACAGAGGGCACCACCTATAAACAGCGGGTCTACCATGAAATGAAATTCCGAAATTTCGGACTCAATTTCGTGATTTTGTTTATACCAAAATCGGACCAATAAATGGAGTTTAACATTTCGTTCGTCATATAAATCGTTCGTCATATAAAAGTCAAAAGGAACAATATTTTAACATTTTTGATATTTTCAAACGGCATGTATTATGTAATTTTAACATCAAATTTCTGTTTCGTTTGGCTTCGAAATTTCGAAAAACATTTCATGGTAGACCCGCTGATGTTACTTTAACGCATATATTAGGTATCTGTGACATAAAACTGCGTAATACTAGTATAACCGGTCCGATAGTTCACCTTGGACATTATTGTTGTGTTAGAAGTAATAATTTATTATATACGACCCAGACATTAATCGCTAGGTAATAAAAATAACAATATTTTGTTAATACCATAAAAGGATTGAAGTCTTTTTTTTTATACAACTTAGAATGGTATACAAGCTGACGGCCCACCTGATGGAAAGTGGAAACCGTGGCCTATAGACATGAGCAGTACCATGGACATAACAGAGTATACTGTTTCGCCCATGATACCCCCCATGCCTTGTCATTCCTGAGGACTCAGGTGGTATTCCTCTGTATTGATGATGACATGATTTGACAGTGACATTTCTTTCTTTTTTATTGTTGACAAGTGTCTGACGTTTTTCATGTATGTTTTTTTTTATATAACATTTCGAATTTTAATAACTTATTTAACATTTATTCTTTTTAAGTTTTAATATTTGCATGCCTAATTATGGCGAAATATGAGGACTTATACTTATTGTAACATCTATACACTTACCATGTTTCTTGTAAATAAATAAATAAATAAAATCTTTATTTGCTTAAACACGGTAAAGTCAAAGATAACAAGGCAAGATAGCATGCAAAAATTCATTTAAGATTAACAATTAACATTTTTTTTTATTTAAGATGTCTTTTACATCATAAAAACTATTTATATACATTTTCTTTTTACATAAATTCACATTTAACAATTTTAATTCATTATTATATTATTAGTTATAATTAAACAGAACATACCTGTTCATTAGTCACTACACTCTCGAAGTGCCTCATCAGCCACCCGACTAGGTTATGGTTGCAGGCAGGCAGTTTCCCTAACAGAGATATGATGGTGGCTTCGCGTTGTGGCTCGGCCATTGCGGTCGCTTGCTCAAACTGTCCGTGTAGCTCTTGTGTTAATATCGATTCTGGTAGTTCACTGTAAATATACATTTACTTCCTTATTCATCATCACCATCATCGTCATAATATCAGCTGTTAACTGCCCGTTGCTAAACATAAACCTTCTTCATAAGGGGAGTTTTACCAGTAGTTGCTACGCTCGGCAGGCAGGTTGGCGACCACAGTTAGGCTTTTAGAGATGCGTTACATTGAAACAGTATACTCTGTTATGTCCATGGTACTGCTTATGTCTATAGGCGACGGTTACCACTTTCCATCAGGTGGGCCGTCAGCTTGTTTGCCATTCTAAGTTGTATAAAAAAAAAAACTTATTACTATGAAATTTTGTATACATATACTATAGAGCATGGAGAAGGACATAGGCTACTTTTTATTCCGTTCAGTAAACATATCCTGGCCAAACGGACCAAGGCACGGGTAAAAGTTGGTATTCTATCTGTTCTCCTTTAACCAAAAGAGATGTATATTTCAATCTGTATTTATGTTACTGTATTTCACTAGAATTGTTTAATTGTCATTGTATATTTTTGATTATGGTGCAATAAAGAGTTAAATAAATAAAAGCTGGTATTAAGATATAAAATAGATTTACCTAATGAATGCCTTGAGCATAGCACAAGCGACGGGCACGTCCCAGTGGTACGGGAACGTCGGCCCGCGGTCCGTGAACAGTTTGCGCAGTTGCTGCAGCTTTATCTTGTCGGGCTCCGCTCGGTAAATCTGGTTCGACTTGATACCATGCGCCTGTGGGAAAGGGGACTGTTAGTAATGGGGACTAGGGAAACCAATTGACCTAACAGTTTATATTGCTAACGCAATATAAACTGTTAGGTCGACCTAAACTCCTCTTCCTTGAAAACCATTGTAGCAAATTTCTAGTGAAATCGTTACAATGGGCCATCTCTTTTCGACCTCGTCGCCTGCACAAAGTCAAGGTGAAATATTTAGCGTCCCATAAAATTAAAAATCTACTCATCCTATAAAACATCATATCAACCGGTAACTGGCCACTGCTGAACATAGGCCTCATCCTATTGGGTTTTGCCGATAGATGCCACGTTTGGCAAGTGGGTTGGCAACTGCAGTTAGGCTTTGGTGATGTTTTAAGAGGGACGCTGTTGCCCATCTGTCGACCGTCAAACTCCCTTAGTTGCCTTTAACGACACCCATGGGACAGGAAAGGGTGGCCTATTCTATGTAGGACTATATGGTAGAAGAAATATAGTATTTATTAAATAAATAATAAAAATAAATACAAATAAAATTACCTGCAGGAAATCGATACTGTCACGTACAATAAGCGGCAGGCCGGTATCGTCGTGACATCTCGACCGCTCCACCGACTGGTGCAGGGGAACGCCGAAGATCGGGAGCGCCACTGTAATATGATATTATTAACTGAGCCGGCAAACGTTATTGGGAACCTAATGGGGGGAAGGGTTTGTTAGTAATTCGGACTGCCAGTCCCATTGCTAACAATATACCCTGTCAGGTCGACCTCCACGTGGTTCCCCATGGAAACCATCGCGCTGAATTCCAGGTGTATTCATTATAATGGGCTTAATTGACCTGCCTTTTTATTTTCACCTATCCTTTCCCTGATGATGAAAATAGAATTTTTCATATTATAATATTATTAATATTTAAAATAACTATATAATATTATTATAGTTAATTTTAAATTTTTGCGTTTTTTTATATTATATTCAGAATATTTACAAATTATTGTCAAAATAATGTATGTATATAGTATGTAGTATGTAGAAAAAATATCTAAGGAACAACCAAGTTTATACTATAAACATTGCTACGGAACTCAATTGGCGCGTGTCCGACACACTATTAGCTAGCTTCTGGATTTACGATCAAGAACTTGAAGTTACAACTATTGGTTATTCGATGCAACGGATACGTTAAGTTGGCACTATTCCGTCCACGGGCTGACCTCAGTTGACCTCGCTGAACGTAGCTTGACCTCGTTGATCGACACTCGACTAATAAGAGCAACAGAAAATTCGTTTTGTTTTATATTTCGACTAGCTGCGCCCGCGACTTCGTTCGCGTGGCGACGATGAAAAGTAGACCATGTCCTTCGATACGCCAAGTAGTAAATGTGTGTACATTCTTCGTCACTATCAATTAAGTTGTCTTTTTTTAATGGGTGATAACGGAATGGTACCCCGCCTGTGTTATCGGTATACGCTGGCGAGGGTCTAGTGATAGATGATAGATGACAATGAAAACTGGTCAATTAGCGCATAGTGACGAATTCCACTACGATTAATCACGATGGTTTCTAGAAGGAACCGCGTGGAGGTCGGGTGTATTGCTAGCAATGGGTCAATTAGACCCCATTACTAACAATCCCAAAACAGGGTACTCTTAGGCATGTCTTTGCGTACAGCTCTTGGGGTGGGCACGGCCCATCCGGCATCACCTTCAAATATGCCTATTGTTAGTTCTTAAAATTTTTGTAATTCTATTTATGTCGGATTTATATATTTTTTAAGGTAACGGACACTTCGCTTTCTGCAGCCGCTTCTATCTATGGTTCATAGGCTGCGGTCTACATAGCCTATTGGTAAATCCAAAACGGAGCGTGTCTAATATTCGATATACTGTTACTAGGTGTGGAAAAAATATTAGAGCTAATAACGACAAAGTTCAGGAAGTACCGTGGGCAACACAATGACGTCCATGACGTACGGATAGTTAAAAGTTGCTGCTAAATAAATTAAAGAACATTGTGGAGTAAATAATTATTATTATAATTGAGAGAAAGCAAACACAGTTATAGATAAGGTTGTAGGTTGAGTTTTTAATGTTACCATATACAAATAAAAATGTTAATTATTAAGTTTCTAATTGCCAATTTCGAAATTAATGAGCTGTTTATGTTTACAAGCGATAATTATCACTTCTCTTCAGAAAGTTGGTCAGTTTGTTTAATCATCTTAAGATGCATAAAACATTTAAAATAAAAAAGTATTGTTTCATAAAAAAGTGACTTCATTCGTGAACGCGCACACCTAGATAAACGTCGAGATGTTGCGTAAATACCTATATTGTAAATATTTGAATTTAGAACGCGAAATTTAGAATCTGGTGTTTACATTTTGTCTCGTACCGCGCCTTTTTTGTTCCGCAAAATAAAATAGTAGCTTCAATTGACACAATATTAATAAAAGGTCATAATAGCAATCAAACCTACTCATTACAAAAAGAATAGTGAAAATCGGTTCAATCAAAATCAGGCGACATAAACGCGTAATATAATCTCAACAAAAAACAGAATTTTAAATTTAGAACGCTCTTTCTTTGGAAGTAGCTTCAAAATAAAAAAATAAATAAACTCACCGTCTATAGTGTAATTGTCTAAAAACGGATTCATGTTGTACGATTGAGAGATGAAGCGAAAAAGATCTAATTGTTTGTGGTTTGATGCTATCTAAATGTAGCCTTGAAACTGTTTGTTTAGTCATTTTCATAGATAGCACACCTGATATGTGCGTGATTTGGTTTTATCTACAGACACTAATATTGAAATGTTTGTACGTATGGAGGTTGTTTTGGCTTCTGGTCCCAGTATAGAATGGGTCACCCCTTCCTTTCCCGTGGGTGTCGCAAGTGGCGATTAAGGCAACTTAATGGTCGAGGATTGGACGGCAGCGTCCTTCTTAAAACATCACCAAAGCCTAACTGCAATTGCCAAACGTGGCAACTACTGGCAAACCCTACTTATGGGGGAAGCCTATGCTCAGCAGCGGGCAGTCAACAGTTGATATTTGTAGGCTATCAACCTCATAACATCATATTTCACTTAAAATAAATACTAAAAGAAACAGAAAAGGATCTAATATTAAACAAAAGGGACAGAACATAAAACAAAGGCATTGTTTGCGTTAAATTGTCTGTGAACTTAGTCGTGTAGGTAAAGATGCTTTGGGACGTTTACACCATATAATATACTAATGCCACCCCATTGTTATGCGACATTTCGCAGTTTTTATGATATTTAGTAATATTTGGTACAAGTATTACATATATTGGTATCTATCTATCTATCCTATTTAAGAGCTGCGCTCTTGTCGGTGGCGCTCTGGTATAAATAGAGAGATTGACTCTAATATATATAGATAGATAGATAGATAGATACTCTTTATTGTTTCCTCCAAAAGATTACAATAGGTAACTTATTATAAATATAAATAATTACAAGAAATAATCAAAATGAGAAAACAATGGGCGACCTTATCGTTAAAAGTTAACCTTTAGATGGAGAGGATATATTGGTATAAACGCTCTAAATGACTATATATGTACATATTTTTAATATTAGTTTTGTGTTGCGACTTTTTTCTAATAATAATGGAATGGTAACTACGCTTGCGCTAACGGTATACGCTGGCGGGGCACCAGTGAGGGATGATAGGCGAGAATGAAAAGGCAGGTCAGTTAGCCCATCGTGATGAACACACCGTGATGGAATTCAGCACGATGGTTTTCAGAGGGGACCACGTGGAGGTCGACCTGACAGGGTATATTGTTAGCAATGGGACTGGTAGTTTGCATTACTAACAATCCCTTTCTTCCACGTGTGCTGCGACTTTGCCCGTGTGAGTTTAAGTAAATACCTAAAGTATTCAATGTGCTAACTTGCTAAGTTGGGATATAACCTACCCATGTGGGATTGTAGCAATGGGGTCAAATAGTCCCATTACTAGCAATATACCCTGTCGGGTCGACCTCTATGTGGTTCCCTCTGGAAACCATCGTGGCTAATTCTAGTTGAATTCGTCAGAATGGGCAAACTGACCTGCTTTCATTCTCATCAGTCATCTATCACTGGTGCCCCGCCAGTGTATACTGATAGCGCAGACGGGGTTACCACACTTATCACCCATTAAAAAAAAACCTACCCGTGTGGGGGAAAATAGATTGTTAGTAATGAGATATAACAGTCTCATTACTAGCAATATACTCTATCAGGTCGACATCCACGCGGTTCCCCCTGGAAACCATCATGATTAATTTTTTTAGATATCCTGACCTGTTTTGATCTTCACCTGACATTTCTGACTGGTGCCCCACTACCCCCCAAAAGTATCCCAATAGCACAGACGGGGCTACTGTTCCATTTTCACCTATTAAAAAATACTGGATTCAAATCAGTTACCCCGTTTCTGAGATTAACGTGCACAAACGTACAGACAAAAATTCTAAATATCATTGTTTTGGGTTAAAATAGTTTGTCTATAATTGTTTTTTTTTTTATTATATGAAATTGATTTTAAACATAGTGTGAAACAACAATTTTGTAAAACTTTTTGAAAATAAATACATTAAATATAAATCTACTATCACTCACCGCCCAAAGTAAATATTTCCTCAAATGGAACACCAGAGGTCACTGTGGATGGCACTTTAGTCAATTTCTTATCCTTCTTATCCTTGTCCTTCTCCTTCACCTTCTCCTTTTCCTTCTCTTTTACTTTTTCCTTTTCTTTGTCTTTTGTTTTCTCTTTCTTCTCATCCTTCAGTTTCTCCTTTGATTCCAATTTGAATTTAGCTTTTTCTTCTTTTTCCTATTTAAAATATAGAAAAATACTTTTCACATATGTTCATTTTAAAATCGCAGGAAAGCAATTAAGTAGACAGATAATAGTTGAAGTAATTTTACACGCGCATAGATAAAGTAACCGTTTATAATATAATTATCTTTTACTATACCGTTGCATAACAAAAACAACACAACAAAAGACTATTTATTCATAAGAAAAATAACAAAAGAAAATAATTGGAGCTATTGTTGTATGTCGAGTCAGATTTATTTATTTATACTATATTGTACAGACTGACAGTACATAAAAATACGACAGAGGTAAGTAAATGTACAAAGACGAGCTTAACTCTAAAATAATTCTCTTACAGCAATCCCAAAGTGGGGAGGAGCATCGATGTCAACGGGTAGAGCGGTGTACAATAATGTGACAAATATTTTTAATATTATTTAGTTATTATTCTCTATTTTAACAGGAACTCCTTTTTAGAGGTAGGGAATGAAAATGCAACGGTCTAAGAGGCTTCAGGTACCATTAGCCGTGTGACTGTTTACCATCTTACTATCACCCTTGTCAGGGTGTCGCCCCTGGAATCAAGAGCTCCAAAGCCGCTTTAATTATATACCAGGCCTTTGATGCAGCTTACTGAACGACGGGTTTACTTGCTATTACAAGCACCAAGCAAGTGATAACCAATTTTAAATTATTCTTAATATGAATTTAAAAACTTGAGAGGTTAAGTTCGGGATTCGTTCTAGAGATCGTTGGACTGCAATAATGTAATTTAAGTGGTATAAAAATTATCATAAATTCGGCAAAACGAAAAACAATTTCGAACATGATAAAATTGTAAATAGACCATGCTGACTGACTTGAGATGACGACGAAAAAAAAATTAAAGAATGGTCTTAATAAGAGCAATAGATTGTTTCTATTATATATATATACAACGATTTTTTAGGGATTTTTTCTATCTTTGTTCTGATATCACGCAAAATCTACTGCACAAAATTGGATGCGATTCCCACAGTTGTACTCCTGAAAATCTAACTTATAAAAACTAGTTTATATTGTATATTCATATGCTATCTGGAAGTGCTTTATTTCATTGATTTTTCTATTTTTGAAATCCACGTATACGAAGTAGCGAGTAAAAAGCTAATAGATATACTATAATATATATAGTTACTAAAATACTAAAACTAAAATAGCCAAATACCTAACTCACGTCAATATCATAAACAAAAACGTTATTGGCATTTGTAAGTACTATGAAGTATAATAGTTTCACTCTTAATTACACAGTTGACCTCAATTAAGACCTTATGTTAAATTAGGACTACTCCATCAGCACTATTCATTTATAATAAACTGTTGTTAAAGGAAAATGAGACGTAACATTATGCAATGAAAGTATAAAATATATAAGCACCTTTGTGAACACACAACGTAGGTGATGCATGTTGTGATTTCAAAACAGTACTGAATAAAACATTAGGTGTACTGTGCGTATGTTTACACATCAAGGCTGTTCTATTCACTAAACAGTGAAATTATTATGCAAAATAACCTTCACGCAGCGATTTTGTATTATGTTATGTTCACTATAAATATTCATAGGAGACAGTATTATTTATGTTAATTTACGTTTTGCTTAAATTTAACAATTGTATATGGTAAACACATTTATGGGATATATTTACTTGATTTTTATTACCACCACATTACGAAATATGTTTGTAATAATTATTACTAATAATAATTATCTTTCAATCAACTTTATAATATAATATTTGTGACTAGCTGTTTCCTCCGGCTTTGCCCGCGTAAATCAGTATATAACGTATCTTATGTGTTATTATATAACCTGCCCATGTATCAAGCTCTATTTAAATCCGTTAAGCCGCCTAAGGTAGAGATAGGTAATATCCGATAATATATATATATATATATATATTCTAGATATTGGTGACCACCCATTGCCATGAAATGTTTTCCGAAATTTCGGAGCCGAACGAAACACGAATTTGATGTTAAAATTACATAATGCTTACCACTTATAAACATTAAAAAAAAAAAAATTATTTCTTTCGACTTTTATGGTAGGATTTATGACAAACGAAATGTTGAGCTCCATTTACTGGGCCGATTTAGATATGAACACGAAATTGAGTCCGAAACTTCGGAATTTTATTTCATGGTAGGCCCCCAGATATCTATATTCATTACAAGCGGGTTCTTCTTTTCGATATTATATATTGGTTAACCGATAGTTGATATACGTGTTATCGGACCAATATATGTATAGATATTGTAACTACAACATACCAGAGGGAGACTGTACAAAAGTTGATTGCTTGGTTACCTCTGTTCCATTCGCGTTTCAACCGTGAAGCAGTTGTGTTTGCATGGCTGTGTTTCAGTTTGAAGGGTGGGATATGGCGTGAATTTACTGGGTACAGAGGAATAACACCTGAGTCCTCAGGAATGGCAACGCATGGGGGGTATCATGGGCGAAACAGTATACTCTGTTATGTCCATGGTACTGCTCATGTCTATAGGCGACGGTAACCACTTTCCATCAGGTGGGCCGTCAGCTTGTTTGCCATTCTAAGTTGTATAAAACAAAAATAAAAAAAAATATATAGATATTGCTAAACCATAGTTACCCTAAATACACAAACATCTTTACGAACTTTCACATTTGTAATATGAAAAGTACGATTGCACAAATAGCAACACTGTATAAATAATAAAAAAAAAACTACATATTTTAAATATGCATAAGATTGTGTTTGGACAGTGACGGAAAAACCCCAAACAGGTCTTTTGCTTTGTTGTTTATATTTGTAATTTATGTTTATATTTAATTAATTTATTTTCCGTTTATTATTGCTCTGCTGTTTGTAATTTATGTTTATATTTGTCTTTAATTATTTAAATAAATGGGGGAAAAATGCTTATTACACGTTTACATCAAGTTAAACTGTGTCGAAAATGTGTTATATATTAAAAAATAATATCTGGAAAATGTTAGAAGTTGCCTACATGGACTTTCGTTGACTAAATGGGGGGCCTTTATAATTTACCATAGGATTGCACTATATACATATATGTAATTGCTGACAGTTAGTATAGTTTTAAAACTGTCAATATGTTGTAAAACAGTACAATATTTAATAAAGTAAATCTTTTTAATTTATCTAATGTAAATAATGATTTATGTAAATAATAACATGTATAATGGATCACACAGTCATACTAATTGTCTAGTTATTAAATTTCCCCGTAATGTTATGAGAATCGACACAATGTTTTTACGGGATGTAATATGGCACAATGCACCTCCAGACCTACTTCCCTAAATTGGCACAACGGAGAATCGATTCCGCGACCTCTTACGTCTATCACTACGTCACAGAGCTCAGGTTGAGAAAAAAAAAAAACTGTATTCAAAATATTTAATCTTAAGCATTTTTAAACGAATCAAAGGAATTTAACACAAACAAATGAATGTAAACTGAAACTATGCATAAAAATATTATAACATATACACGATACCATGTTTAATCAAGTTACAGTATACTGCAGTATCTCTATTCATTATTAAAGCATATTGCATACGGATTGCTGAATGCGCGTGGCCGGATATGCACTTGCGTGGTAAAAAACATAATGTCGATTCCTATCTAAACACGTTTGAGTCGACAGGTGGGAAATTCAATTAAAATATTAGCTTAGATTCTTAACTATATAGATTAAAATGTACGTAGATTAGATTTACATCTATATGAAAATAGCTACGTGAAGGTACACATGATTTTTAATTCACTTCACTTAAACGTCACTCGACACTGGAAATTTATAAAGAATTGAAATTTTCACGAAAATCAACACAACAAGTTGACAGAGTGACCGCTATTCGGCGGGTTTGCGTTGACAATGAATGGATCGACAGCGACTTTAGCTGCTTGAGTCATGGCCTTTTGTAATTTAAGCAGAATCGCCGTGCGCTATTGCGTCGCAATAGCGTTCACTTTCTATGGCGTATGTGATATGATTAAAACTAGTGTTCCATCATTATTTCGTATGTTGTTCGTGTTAATAATAAATCTTATAGCATACCTATACCATACTATTATTAGGCACGATACTGTAGGCTGAGTAGGCTATTAACCTAGGTATTTTTTTTATTAAAGTCAATGTTTACTGTCGTTATTTCTTATACGACGCCCTTTTTGCTATTCTTGTATTGTTTGTTTTTATACTGAGTATTTTTGTATTTTTTTTTCTTGTTTATTAAAATAGCCCTAGGTTTTTTTTTAATGGATAATAATTAAATGGCAACCTTGCCCGCGCTATCGGTGTACACTGGCAGGGCACTAGTGAGGAACGATTGGTGAAGATAAAAAGGCAGGTCAGTTCGATCAGCATGACGAATTTAACGATAAATTATTTACGATAGTTTCCAGAGGAAAACGCGTGGAGGTCGACCTGATTATATTGATAGCAATAAGGACTAATCTCCGCATTATTAAAAATCCCTTCTCTCAATAGCCCTAGGTTATTACCTAGTTAATTTTTTTTTTATACAACTTAGAATGGCAATCAAGTTGACGACCCACCTGATGGAAAGTGGTAACCGTCGCCTAGACATGAGCAGTACCATGGACATAACAGAGTATACCGTTTCGCCTTTAATTACCCCCCATTCGTTGCCATTCCTGAGGACTCAGGTGTTATTCCTCTGTACCCAGTAAATTCACGCCATATCCCACCCTTCAAACCGAAACACAGCCATGCAAACACAACTGCTTCACGGTTGAAACACCAATGGGACAGAGGTACCCAAGCAATCTACTTTTGTACAAAGTCTCCATCTGGTCAGCTGATTTAAAATGGAATGATGATTAATTAATGAATGGCTGATGTAAAAAAGGTCATCACCAATTTCAATATTGTCCATAACGGATATTTAATATATTTTTTTTGACCCAATATATGGATATTATAACTATATTATTATATAGTTATTGCTGTAATATGTATTACCTACCCCTAGTTACTAGTCAATGATGATAGGTGAAAATGAAATCAGGTTTTTTTTAAAGGATAAAAATGGAATAGTCATCTCACTTGCGCTATCGGAATACGCTGGCGCGGCACCAGTGAGTGACGATAGATGAGAATGAAGGTCAGTTGGCCCATCATGATGAATTCATCAAAAATGGTTTTCAGGGGGAACCGCGTGGAGTTCGACCTATTAGGGTATATTGCTAGTAATGGGTCCATTGGATTTCACTACTAATAATCCTTGTCCCCCCCAAAGAATTTAGGTTAATTTGCCCATCATGATGAACTTATTAGGAATTAACCATGATGGCTTTTGAGGGGACTGCATGCATCAACTCGATGAGGTATAGTGCTAGCAATGGAGGCGTCAGTCCCCAACACTTGAAGAGAAACGATACTAAATATTATAGATGACTTCTTCCGGTACAAAACAGTAGCATTTTAACTGTAGAAACATGAGTAGGTACATATGAAGATTTTATACAAAATATCTTTTTGAAAAATATACAACATAAATAATTTACCTTATCTTTCTCCTTCATCTTCTCACGTTTTTCCTTTTCTTTCCTCTCCTTTTCCTTCTTTTCTCTTTCTTTTTCCTTCTCCTTTTCTTTTTCTTTTTTCCTTTCCTTTTCATTTTGTTCTTTTTGTTTTGCCGCATCTTCTAGCACTTTCTCCTTATCACGCGATTTTTCGCGTTTTTCTTTACTTTTAGTTGGGAACTTGAAAGATTTTGTCTTTTTCGATTTAGAAGGACTTCTGTCAAAAGGTTTCGTGAGTTCATTCATTAATATAAAAATACTTAACAACACAGCTACTTCAATATTTTTTAAATTCTACTTGTCGTGGGTTAAAAAAAATGTTTAAATTTTACTTCTGTGTTAAATCAGTTTTTCATAATTGAATATTTTTTTTGTGGAACAAAATATTACATTATTTATTAACTTATGTTCAGCAGTGAATAGTTAAAGGCTGATATGATGATGAATTAATATATCATTTACTTGTTTATTTAAAAAAAAAAATAATAAAAAAGTTTAAAAAAATTATGAGTTTATCTTAAATTTTTAGAAAAAAAAAAGACTAAAGCTAAGCAAAACCAAAAAATGTTCCTCCTTTTTTTACTACTCAACAAACAGAACACTAAAAAAATGTAGTAGTAAAACAATTATTTATTATTTTTCAATCTGTCCTTACATGATGCCCTCTAATTTTATCCGAGCCTTCTACTGTCTACCTGTAAGCTTCAATAGAAATAAGGGGGTGTTTGTTAGCTTATAATACTTCACTGTACAGTAAAATATTATATGATTGGAAACAGATAAAAGTGATATATTTTTTTTATGCAACATAGAATGGCAAACAAACTGACGGCCCATCTGATGGAAAGTGGTAACCGTCTTCCAAAATATTATATCTTCCAAATAATCTTATTACTCACTTTGAGAAATTATTCTCAAATTCTAAGCATATAACAATTCAATATTCATTAGAAAGACATATTTCAAGCGTTTTTTTATGGAACTAGGACCTGCTGTTGGAAAGCTAAAATGTGGTAATGTTCTCCTAAATATATGATTTTAACTACATATTCCATCATAGATTTTGTTGTACTAGTTGAATTAAATTTCGAAGTTATTTTGTCACAATGATGAGATTGTGAGTGAAATAGTACTCCTTGTCTATAAAAACTAATATAGGTCTCATTTTTATGTAAAAATTAAATAAATAATAAGCAAATTTAAAGTGTAAATAAGATACAAACTTAGTATCGGTATCCTCTTCTGGTGAGCTTTCTCCTTCTAGTGCAGCATAACCTCTATCCTTTTTAGATTCTTTTTTGTCCTTACGGCGTCCCAATAAATCCTTTTTGCTTGGCTTCTCATGATCACCTCCATCACTGACTGATAAATATTTTTATTATTAGTATGTTAAATAAACTGCCAGTCCACTTGATGGGAAGTGACTACCATCACTCATAAAAACTAGCAATACAATGTTCTTAGACTTTAAAAAGCTGTAGGTGCGTTTTTTGTAAAGCTCTTATATGCCCTCATTTCATAAAAACTAAACATAAACAAAAAGCAAACACATAATGTTATATTCTATTAGCTCTCAACTTTTGTAGTGGATTTGTTAAATGTGGAAATAAAGGCTATAAAACTGTCAGACCCTATGTTCTATTAAAATACCTATTACAGTTACTAGAACAATAGTATATATTTTTCATAGTATCTAATGGCCACAATATGATATATAGATTACCATAGAACACTAATACATAGAATATCACCAAGTAATATCATTATTGAAGGTGGGAGATAGTGTACATTATTTATGAGATTATATGAATGAGTACTTAAACAACTTATGAACTCTTTAATTTAAACCGATTTATGTGGTAAGAAATTTTTCAAAGAGTATTTCTGTGGTGAAATTTTCACGGATTACGATATGTTTAATAAAATTTTTAGTACTTACAGTCACTTTCATTGCTTTTACGTCCTGCTTCCGAGGCATATAATCCAGGAAAATCTTTTTCAACGTCTGGACTTTCGAAATCCATTATGGTGTTTGATAATGATAAAATTAACCACAATTATGTGTTAAATGCCAAATAATAAATAGTTTCTACAATTTTTAATGCAAACTGAACTGATAAATATTAAATATTTATTTATAAAAAACAAAAGTTGATTTTTTATATTGATTGACTTCACTCATTTCTTATTGTTTTTTTTTTTTTTTAGTACGTTTGTTCCGTTTGGAACAGGCTAAGGTCGGAGACCATGCTGCCTAGTCTTCAAAAAGATAATTTGTCTGGAATTCATTTCTGTTCCGAGACGAAATTAACCACAATTATGTGTTAAATGCCAAATAATAAATAGTTTCTACAATTTTTAATGCAAACTGAACTGATAAATATTAAATATTTATTTATAAAAAACAAAAGTTGATTTTTTATATTGATTGACTTCACTCATTTCATATTCTTTTTTTTTTTTTTTTTTTAGTACGTTTGTTCCGTTTGGAACAGGCTAAGGTCGGAGACCATGCTGCCTAGTCTTCAAAAAGATAATTTGTCTGGAATTCATTTCATATTCTTATCAGTGTCAGTTAACAAGCTTGACATTTCTCGTTAGTGTAGCCAACTCAAATTCTAGTTTTCACACTGAAAGTAATTAAAAAGTCAGAATAATAATAATTGTACGCCGGTTTCTCACACTAGGGCCCTGAACCCCGGCCGACTGTGCTTCTGCCGGGGGTTATTTTGCCATCTTCTCTCATTAAGAGGGGAGATGTGAATTTGTATAAAATTTTGAAATAATAATAAACATTTTATCGTGTTTAAGGATCTTTTATTAATAAGTGGACAGACTACTAACCTTAGTAACCTACTAATGAATTACATTAGAACAAAAAAGTTTAATGTTCTATGCTGAATAAAATTTAACAATCATTTTATGATATTAGTAATATATTAATAAAATTTTAAACCATTTCCTAATTACTTAATACTTTTAGTTACTTGGTAATATTGGACCAATTGATTTCAACGTGTGAGAGCGAACGGCAATGTAACGTCAACATGTGTCAATATGTCAAGTTTATTCTCTCTTTCACTCAAATAACTTTCTTTCATTCTGTTTGTTTGTCACTTTATAATATGGAAATGAAAATTTACTAAAAACAAACAAAACAAATTATATTTTAGTTTCGGTCCGTTTTAAGTACTCATGCTTGGTAATTATCGTTTTTTTTTCACTTTCTATTCTCTCCATGACATAAAAAAGGCATGAGCTAATTTTACAATACTTAGGATATAGATAGGTCCATAATAATTGAATTTGTATTATTTTTCTAGTACTATTTTCATTTTTCAGGTCTAAAATAAACAAATGGCATGGTTTGCGGAGCTCGCTGGCAAGGCAGAAAGCCTGCTAAACAATCTAGATGAGCAAACCGGCGCGGCTTTACGAAACCATAATAGTGTATTGAAAAAAAAACACGATATACACCCTGAGCATGCTTGGGGACAAAAGAACAGGCCAGTACCACGAAATTTGAAGAAAACCTCTGGTACTGACACACTGGATACATATGTTTCGAAAGATGGAAGGAAACTATCTCCTCCAGCACATCATCAGTCCCATTCACCTGTAAAAGACAGTAAGGTTGTGGCGAGAGAACGGTCCCCAAGGACTCGACACCTGTCAGTGAAGAAACCTACACAATTCACTCTAAACCACTGTCCGAAGATTTTAGTCGGTGATTTTAAAGATGATATACATGATGATCAATTTGGATTGAAACGGAGAAGTAAGTTATCAGTTTATATATTAACAAATTGTATTTGTAACATAGTAGGATTATTATGATATGGAAAAAATTATAAAAATTATTCTAAGTCCCAATTCCTTTGTAAAAAAAAATATGTATTTTTTAGGCTTCTCAATAGTAAAAACACCAACAACTGCCCTTAAAGTGTACTCTTTGACTGCCATGGTTAAAAATTAGACTATATCTTTCTCGTTTTCAATGAAATACTATGTGCTTGTATTTATCAGTAATAACCAAACATGAAGTGAAGCATATTTTTTTGAAAAATGGTGCTGTACTGTTCATGTCATCAATCATTACAACTTCCCATCTGGTATATCTAATTTTCCATTGCATGTATATAAAAATAGAAATTTGCCATTGATAACAATTAATTTTTAAAAATTATATCTTTAGGTATACCTGCCCTATTGTATCTTGAATTGATTAGAACTATATATTAGAACTGAGAGATGGGGATTAATAGACATCAATAATTTAGAGAGATGTTCAAGATTTTTCTGATTTATTTATTTAATATAGATTGAATAACTCTATTGTAATGTTTAAAAATTATTTCTTGATGATTTATAAATCACTATTATGTGCTTTACTTTTTTTTTCTTATCATTTCATGAGATTATGTTATCTAATCAGAGATTACCAAAGTACGCAATTCTAATTAAGAATATTTTCAAATCTATTACAGAAATTATATTTAAATAATATAATTATGAATTATGAGATGTGGATACATCCACATCTCATGTATAAAAAAATTTATATTTTTTTTAATGGGTGAAAATGGAATGGTAACTCTGCTTCTGCTGTCGGGATATGCTGGCACGACATCAGAAAAAGATGATGGGTGAAAATGAAAATAGAATTAAACTAAGAATTAACCATGATGGCTTCCAAGGGAATTCATGTGGAGGTCGACTTGACAGCATGTATTACTAGTAATAAAATTTTTACAATTATTAGTAACAGGGGGGATGGGATTGTTAGTAATGGGGAGGTTAGTCCCCGTTGCTATCAATGTACCCTATCAGGTCGACCTCCATGCGGTCTCTCTGGAAACTATTGTGACTATTTATCCTTGAATTCGTCATGATAGGCTAACTGACCTCCTCCTTTTTATCCTCACCTATTATTTCTCACTGGTACTCCGCCAATGTATAGCGTTAACGCAGGCTGGGTTACCAGGCCATTTTCACCCATAAAGAAACCCCATTGGTAACAACCCTTTTCTACCGGGATTGATATTAATTAATTTGTTCATTCATTTGTTGTTTTATTTTTCATTATAATGCTCAAGTCTTCTATTATTAATATCTGCTATAATAGCCATAAACTATTAAGGTGCTATAAGGTAACAAACAAACATTTTTTTATTTATAATATTAGTAATGATTGGCCTAGTAACTTGGTATAAAGTAAAACCTTCATGTTTTTGCAGTAGTTTGTAAATCGGGGGATAGGTGTATTAGTAATTATTGGCCTAGTAACTTGGTATAAAGTAAAACCTTCATGTTTTTGCAGTAGTTTGTAGCTTTGTGACTCTCCCTTCCAACTTCTATTACAAAACTAATATGTAAAGTGACAGGTAACTTTCCATTAAGCTGGCTGTCAGCTTGTTTGCCATTTGAAACTGCAAGAAAAACAAATGTATATTTGTTGTCTATATACATAATTCACAGGAAATGAATGAACTCACATCGAATAATTTAAAAATTAACATAGATTTAAAAAATATATGTTTATTTTTTGTCACAGGGTATAGCTTGCCAACAGACTTTGAATTGATAAGCAACGAGAATTTAACATACAAAATGCAAAATTTAGAAGTTGAGAACGCAGTGCTGAAAAATGAACTGAACATAATGAACAGAGAAGTCTCAGAATTGCTCAATAGGTTACGAAAAACTGAGGATGGTAATATATTAATAAATGGTTTTCAAGGTAAAAAGATCTGTATAATATTTACATGTGTCTATTGCATGGCATGGGGATAAACAGTAAGCTAATTTGTGTGATAATTGTAATTTGTAGCAGTTTCTACTTAACATACTAACTTAACTAATATTTTTTACTAATCTAATTAAGTATTGAATATACTATACTATATATGAGGGGAAAGGGATTGTTAGTAATGGAGACTGAGAATCCCATTGCTAGCAATATACCCAACCAGGTCGACCTCCTCGCGGTTCTCCCTGGAAACTATCATGGTTAATTCCTAATTAATTCATCATGATGGGCTAACTGGCTTGTTTTCATTCTCATATATCACCCTTCACTGGTGCTCCGCCAGCATATACCGTTAGCGCAGGCGGGGCTACCATACCATTTTCACCCATCAAAAAAAAAAAACTATACTATATACTTAGATTATATAGATAGTTTCCATAGAAATACTTCTAGAAAAACGGGTCAACTTTTTCATACAATTTAGCGTGAACCACATGTTATGAGTGATTCCTTTATAACTTCTATATTTATTTTGTCTTATAATTATTTATTAAATAATACATCAAGATACATTTTATGCGTAAGTATATAGAATACTGATAAAAAAACGACTCGGCTTTTTTGACAATTAGCTGACAAAAACTTGACCCGTTTTTGAGTTTCCACGCTCTATCTACATATATAATCTAAGACTAAACACAAACATATACCATTTTAAAAAATAATTAAAAGAATAAATCATAACTTCTTTTTCCTTTTATTTACTTTTTTTAATATTTTTCACCTGATTATATACATATGGCAAGATGTCTATGTCTACCTTATAATAAGTATAAAATTTACTTTAAACAAATTAATAAATTTTTATAAATAATGTATCATCACATACACTTTTTTAGATAAACTATTTCCATTTCATAGTTAGTAAGATTATACCGATGCTTAATTTATTGTTGGTTATGGTTGGTTCGTCTAGTGAAAGTAATGCAAAGTAAAGACAATACACTTTCTTGGTGCATCTTCTTAAACAGTTTTTTCTTTATATGCCATTAAGAAATATTTATCTTCTGCATTAAATAGTTCTGTTTGCTATGTTTTATTTTTATGGATGATAATGCAATGGTAACTCCGTCCGCGCTATCGTTATACACTGGCGGGGCACCAGTGAGGGAGGATAGGTGAGGATCAAGTCAGGTTCCTTGGCCCATCGCGACTAATTTGACAATAATTAATCACGATAGTTTCCAAGGGGAACCGCGTGGAGGTCGACCTGACAAGGTATATTGCTAGCAATAGAGATTAAAGCCCCCATTACTAACAATCCTTCTCCCCCCTGTTTGCTATGGTAGGTGAGTTATGATAAAAATACATTTATTTAATAAAACTATTGAAGTTATATATTTTTTAATGATTATTCATAGATTTATATAATTTTTATAGAAGTACCATAGAAAAAGTAATCAGTGTTTTCAGATTATTTTTAATAGCAGATTAAAGAGAAGAAATATTTCTGTATTTATATATGAATCTGAAGGAAAATAAACTTAAAAAAATATTTTTACCTATTTACTGTTATTTTTTTTTATACTGGCTATACATAGAAATATACGTATATATACGTATACATATATATACGGCATCTTTATCATTCTTCAGATCTATTCTTATTATTTGGGTTTGCTGGAGTATGTTTTTGCCTCCCATGATATATGTATGTATATAATATTTTATTTCTTTTAGAGTTAAGCAAAACACATATTAAATTAGAGAGTTCGGAAATTTTAAATCAGAGGTCTGCACTAGATAAAGAGACAACTAACACCCAGTTAGAGCAGCTGAAACAAAAAATTAATGAATTGACAAGTGTAGAGATAGAGAAATACAAGGGGCAGATACAGAACAAGGAGACGGAACTGTCAGTGTTGAGGGATAGAAATAAGGAGTTGGAAGATCAGTATGTACTAATATTTTTTTATTACCAACGTTATAATTAAGATATGGGCGATCTACCAGAGGGAGACTTTGTACAAAAGTCGATTGCTTGGGTACCTCTGTCCCATTCGTGTTTCTACCGTGAAGCAGTTGTGTTTGCATGGCTGTGTTTCGGTTTGAAGGGTGGGATATGGCGTGAATTTACAGGGTACAGAGGAATAACACCTGAGTCCTCAGGAATTGCAACGCATGGGGGCATCATGGGCGAAACAGTATGTGTGTGTACTGTTATGTCCATGGTACTGCTCATGTCTATAGGCGAAGGTTACCACTTTCCATCAGGTGGGTCGTCAGCTTGTTTACCATTCTAAGTTGTATAAAAAAAAAGATCTGGTATTTTTTTATATAATAGGTAATTGGCAAAATCCTTCCCATGGTAAATTGGTATATGAAATGGTCCCGTTCTTATGTTAGTCTATAGGGGAGGCCTATGTTCAACAGTGGACAGATTACAGCTGATATGATGATGATGATGATGATGATAATGATATTTTTATTATTATGAAGAATTTAATTATTTTAATTTTGCAACAATATTTAATACAATGTATTTTTATTGTGAATGAATGAATTATAAAGTTGTGTTCAACAAATTTTAGGGTACAAGAACTAACCGAGAAATTTAACGGAAATCAGTCATCTCATATTAAATTGGAGAACGAATTGCGACACGCACAGTCGACAATCGGTGAATTACAAAACGACCTAGTGAGGTCAACAGCAGAGTGTCAAAGGCTCGAGAAGGATTGGGAGACGTATAAGTTGAGAGTCAAAAGTATGCTGTATGCTAAAGACAGTGAGATTAAGACGTTGCAACAGGGTGCAAATGTTGCGGAGAATACTAGAACGTTGATTGAACAGCTGGAGAGTTTACAGTAAGTTGTCATAATGTTAGTTATGCACCAGTTATGAAGAAGATCAATATGAATTCTTACGCTCTGGGGTTTTTCTGCAGATGTGGTAGTTTAGTTTCCTTGTATGTATGTTGGGTTGTGTTTTTACATGTATGTGTCATACGTATATATATTTATAGTGTTTATCAGCATTCTTAAATTTGTAATGTTTAAGTATGAGATTTATGTACTTGATTGTTTAGAATATTAGAAGTGTTATGCATAGAGATATAATCCTTTTAGATGTATTTTTTTTTCAATGGGTGAAAATGGTTTATGGTAACCCCACCCCGCCTACGCTAACGGGATACGCTGGCGGAGCACCAGTGAAGGATGATAGATGAGAATGAAAACAGGCCAGTTAGCCCATCATGATGAATTCATCAGGAATTAACCATGATAGTATCCAGGGAGAACCGCGAGGCGGTCGACCTGGTTGGGTATATTGCTAGCAATGGGATTCTCAGTCTCTATTACTAACAATCCCTTTCCCCCCTTTTAGATGTATTAGGTATCATTTAAATGTGTTATGTTGTACAGTATTAATGCAGTGCTAGTGTTGTAACTGTAACACCTGTTATTTTTTATTTTTTTTAATTAGTTGCTCTTTTTTTTTTTTGTTTCCACCAATTCGCAATTTTTATCAGACATTCAAAGGCTGCTGTGTGTGTCCCTGGTATGCCGTGTGGTCCCGGCATAGAATAGGCCACCTCTTCCTTTCCGTGGGTGTCGTAAGAGGTGACTAAAGGAAGGCGAGGGATGGGCAGCAGCGTCTCTCTTAAAACATCATCAAAAGCCTAACTGCGGTTGCTAACCCGCCTGCCAAGCATGGCAACTATTGGCAAAACCCCCCAAGGAGAGGATTATACAAAATGAATGAATGAATGAGTATTTTTTTATACAACTTAGAATGGCAAACAAGCTGACGGCCTACCTGATGGAAAGTGGTAACTGTCGCCTATAGACATGAGCAATACCATGGACATAACAGAGTGTACTGTTTCACCCATGATACCTCCCATGCGTTGCCATTCCTGAGGATTCAGGTGTTATTCCTCTGTACCCTGTAATACTATATTTGCATTATACAATATAGGAAATAAGCAAGACAATTAATAAATGCAACTGTACAGCTGTATAAGTGTAGTAAGGCGGTCTTATTACTGAAAGCAATCTTTTCAAGACAACCTTAGGGTAACGGACTAATTGTAGAAATAGGTATGATAATATTATATTATTAAGCAAGTTTGGAATAACAGCGTAAAACATTAATATTGTAGAAAAGAACGAGATGAGCTGTCGGAATCGGTCGTACGCATCCGCGTCGAGAGCGGCGAGATGCAGCAGCAAGTTGAACAGCTGGAGGGGCAGTTGAGTGCGTCCGGCCGCGCGGTGGCAGCACTGCGCGAAGCACTGCGGGACGAGCGGGCCGCGCGCAACCGCGCCGACACCCAGGCGCGAGCACTCGCTAAGGTGAGTTTTTTTTATACAACTTAGAATGGCAAACAAACTGACGGCCCACCTGATGGAAAGTGGTGACCGTCGCCTATAGACATGAGCAGTATCAAGGACATAACAAAGTATATTGTTTCGCCCATGCGTTGCCATTCTTGAGGATTCAGGTGTTATTCTTCTGTACCCTGTAAATTCACGCCATATCCCACCCTTTTTCCTTCTGAAATTAACCATGATAGTTTCCAGGGAGAACCGCGAGGAGGTCGACCTGGTTGGGTATATTTCTAGCAATGGGATTCTCAGTCTCCATTACTAACAATCCCTTTCCCCCCGTCGATCTGATATTAAAAACATTTTTAGCTTTTGCCTTGTATGCCTCGCCGTGGTATGGTAGGCGGATGAATTTGTTTCCCTTCATCATCATTTCGGCCGTTAATAGTAGCTTAACATAGATTGATAGAAAATTTACGGCGAAATCTCCTCATTATAGAGTGCCACAAGGGCTGACTGACTGATAACACAGTAAAGTCGTGGCTCTGTCTAGTGAAAAAGTTAATCTGTCGGATTCGCGTCGATATTGATATTAAAAAACTCAAACAGGGCTCAAAACCCATAACGTTTTTAAATTTATTTTATCCTACACACTGTTTATTTAACTTTATTGATCAAATAAAAATGTTGTACAAAAGGTCGAGTTAAAGCTAGTAACATTTATTACCAGTCAACCTACAATACTTATACGCGTTCATGCTATCTATAACAATTTGAATTTTTTATATTTCACAGGAGTTAAAATCCATGGAAATCGAAACGGGCCAAACTATAGCTGATCTACGCACAGCTCTCCGTGATAAAGAGAATGAACTGAATCACCTCCGTGATACGACCTCGTCAATTCGAACCACAGACACCAGTGCCCTAAATGTTGCCGACTATGACGTCATGCAGAACAGCATAGACAATGATAAAATTCATTATTTAACGGAGACTTTAGTTCAGAAACAAGGGAAGATCGATTCTTTGTTGGCAGATAACAATATGTTAAAAATACAGCTCGATAAATTACAGGTATAATTAAATTATTTTCAAAAGTAATACTTTTTAATATATATTAATATACGATAATATAATATACTAGCTGACCCCGTAAACGTTGTTTTACCACTTATTGCGAAATATAAAAATCGCTATTAAAAAACAGGGGCTGATCGTAAAAGGGTAAAAATTTTAAGCTGTATGTATTTTTCAATGCTTAGTTATAATATTTTTTTTTTTTTTTTTTTTTTTTATGCAACTTAGAATGACAAACAAGCTGACGGCCCACCTGATGGAAAGTGGTAACCGTCGCCTATTTTCTATACTGTTTCACCCATGATACCCCCCATGCGTTGCCATGAGGACTCAGGTGTTATTCCTCTGTACCCTGTAAATTCAATATCCCACCCTTCAAACCGAAACACAGTCATGCAAACACAACTGCTTCACGGTTGAAACACGAATGGGTACGAATAAAATAAAAGTAGAAAATTTTTTCAAAAAAATAAAAAAAAAAATAAAAATAAAAAATAGATGTTGGCCGATTCTCAGACCTACCCAATATGCACACAAAATTTCATAAAAATCGGTAAAGTAGTTTCGGAGGAGTTTGGTAACAAACACCGTGACACGAGAATTTTATATATAAGATAATAATAATAGAAATACAAGAGATTTATCGTACAAGAATGAGTGGAGATGACGGTAGGGATTGCATTAGAAGGACATATGTCGCCCAAACAGCCGTGCCGAAGAAGGGCTAAATTAAAGTAGCCGTAATCGGTGAGCGTGTATGAAAAAGATTGAGAAATGTGGAAGAAGCGAAAGAGGTCTGTTTGAATCGAAGCATTTGGCGTTCCATTGTTTCTGCCTACCCCGATAGGTGACAGGCGTGATAGATATGTATGTATATATCTAATTTATATTAAAAAGTATTATTAGTTATTAAGTAATTTCTAGCTATAGCTGATTTTTGTTGATTTAACTGGTAACTCAAATTTTAATTAATATACATCTTACAGTCTAAATATAAGTGTGAGATATCAAACCTGAGGGCTTCTAACGCACACAGCGTGGTAAATCTGCACGAGGAAGGTCGACCTCGTGCCCGCCATGACACCACCGTCTCCGGTATGGGGAAATTCTCATTAAGAATAGGGCAAGTTTTGAGAAGGAATCCATTGTTCAGGGTGTTCATTATTATTTATATGGTGAGTCAATTATAATTTTAATTGATTAATTGTAGAGATGAAACGGATATCCGGTAAGTATCCGGTATCCGGTCTATCCGGCGGCCTTAATATTATCCGGCCTAATACCGGATAACTACTATTCGGCCGGATAGGTATCCCGCCGAATATTTATATAATAAGTAAGAATGTTTGTAACGATGAATGGATGAAAGGATGTGTTGAATACATAAATAGTTTAAAACATGAAGTAAGTAACAAATGATTTATGGATTCAACATAATGGTGCTTGTAATATAATTGGTCGACTACAGTTGGTAAGAAATTTGCTGATTAAAATAAGGTACCTATTATATTGACGATATTTAAATAAAATGTGCCATATTTTTAGTGTTGTAATTAAATAAAAAAAACTTTTAGATTTTTCTAATTTTTCTATTTTGATGCATAACATATGTATTAATTAAAATGGCATCAAATTTAAATTATTGTAATAACGAAAACATATTTTAAGTCTATTCTTAGATATTAACCAAAACTCCTGTGAAATAGCATTGTACGTGACCAATTACAAAAGGTTTAATGTATTTTTTTTTTTTATTTTTAAAGCTTAATATTTTAATCAATATAACTGATTACCATATTGAAGTCGGTGTTTTTTTGTAGAACAAAATCTAAAATTTTGACTAACTATTGTATTTGTATGGGGACAGTCGATCTATATAGTCTAAGCTTCGTTCTAAGTTGTTGTTATCTATCAGTACAATCGAAATAAAAAAAAAATACTAAAATATTTTTGAGTGCTCTAAATGATTTTCCCAAACATAAGTCGATTAACGACAGAAAAATAATTTACGCGTTATCAAACAAGTCTATTTTAAGACCACAGATGATCCATGGTTTAGTAATAAATTTCGTGCTGTAACAAGGATTGCTTTTATCTATGGTTTATTCATGGTATAAAGTCTGTTATTATCTTCAGTATGAATGAATATTTATTTGCAAGAAATATGGTAAATATACAGATAGATAAAATAATACTAAGTCCACATATTTCGCCACAATTATAACGTAATCTTTTGTAATGAGATAGTTAATAGTTTATGTTGTAAATTTTTTTATTAATTCGTTATTTTTTTACAGATCGGTCTTCATTTTTGGGTGCTCACGGTCTTGTTGACAAGTACACCGGAGAGCTATCTAACTAGACCAAGCAAGATGAAATAAAATCAGCTTTAATTCCAATAGTCATAGATTGTAAAAGAAATCTTGCGTTTTTATAATTTATCGTAGCACTATATCGTACGATTTTACCGTTGCGATAACAGAATAGTAAAACATGCAATTGTATATATGCTTTTTAATCCAAGTCCTTTATATCGTCGACGAAAATTAAAGGCGTCATATAAAATCGTAAGATATCCTGCCGTGCATAAATTATAAAATAGTCATTGATTTGGGAATCATTGATGTAAAATAACCCAAGATTCACATTCCCATACAAAAGATAGTCTCAAAAATATTCCGAATTAATATTAGTTGTCTTAAGGCAAGGTGTGAATGGTAAAATTGTATTTTATGTTATGTACCATATGGCCAAAAGTCAGTCAAATAGTAATCTTTGAGTTCATCAAAATAGTAGTTTTGTTTATTATCAATGGTTACTAATCACATTTTAGTAATGAATATAAAGAGATTTTTTATAAAATTAAATAAAAAAATTTACTTTGAAAATATAATAATAATACCGACTGTGCTTCTGCCGGGGGTTAGTTTGCCATCTCCTCTCCTTAAGAGGGGAGATGTAAATTTTCTAAAAATTAAAAAAAAACTAATAATAATACTATTATTATAAATATTAATGATGTTCACATTTGTATGGGTGTATGGTAGTACTTTTGTATGAAATGATCCTTTGATGACATTGAAATTATGAAATAATTTCAATAAACAGTTACATAATAATGCAATATGTCCTTTGTTTACCTCTTAATCTATAATTTATGGTTTTTAAAATAAAATTTAAGAACTTTAAATAATTCTAATCAAGAATCAGACGAAGAAACGCAATAAATTATATCGAAAAGGCATTGACTTCGTTTTCTTGCAGTCTTTTCGTTTATTGGTGCTAGTAACAATATTTGTAAATAAAATTAAGTGTAAAAAAAAACATGTAAAATTATAAAATGTATATATATATACGAATCTCGTCTACCGACTGACTTTAGACGCAATAGAATTGGGATCACATTGAAATCACGTTAAATCGACGTCAAATTGTAAATGGTACTGTCCCTTCGAAAATGTGACGTATATTTGACGTGATTAGATCCTAATTTAGTTGCGTCAAAAGTCTGCCTGCTGTTTGATGAATGCTGAGGTTTAATTTCATAATTAATTAAATAATAATTAATAGTGTAGTATTCCAAATAAATTCGAATTATTAAACACCAAAATTAATTGCCTTTTTACACAACTGAATCTTAAGATTTTGTTGTAGATAGAACAGATATTGCTAGCAATAGGGCCTCACTAGTATCTATTAATAAAAATTCCTGACTTCAGTTTGTTGTGTACTGTACAATACTGCTTTTCATACTAGTTGGGTGGACATTTTTACATTTTAAAAACTGGCCATTAAGGCTGCACACGCGACGGAAGCTTAAAAATGGAGTAACTTCTCCCGTTTTCCAAACATTTCCCTTCACTGCTCTGCTCCTATTGATCGTAGCGTGATGAAAAGTATACTATAACCTGCCCAGGAGTATGAAGAATAATTGTACTGAGTTTCGTTAAAATCTGTCGAGTAGTTTATGTTTCTATAACGAACATACAGACAGACAGACAAAAATTTTACTGATTGCATTTTTGGCATCAGTATCGATCATTAATCACCCCCTGATAGTTATTTTAGAAATATATTTCATGTACAGAATTGACATCTTTACAGATTTATTATAAGTATAAATAGATATATATATAATATTATATGTAATGAAATTAAACCTTAGTATTTAAATTGTTATATTAAAATCGTCATACTTCGATCATCAATACTTGTAGATGTCCAGTCAATGTGTTTAAAAATGCTTGTGCGAATATATGTATTCTCACTTGCTGTCAGAATTCTGAATTATTTTGCGTTATTTCGTTACAGACAAAACTATACCTTATTATATTAGTCATTAAAGTTTAAGTAAAATCGAAATAAAGTTTTAGATAATTTTTCTTTTCAATAATATCAATAGTGCATTCTTAATAAAATATCGACATAATTTCAAGTTTTTGTGAACAGCCCGCTTAAAGAAATGCAGATTGCACTCAAGTTAAAAAAGTACATCCTTTTTATATGTTATTCAAAGGGAAAAGAGGGATTTTTATGGGTTCAGTTCTTTTTATGGAGTTTGCTAGAACTTGCCAATTTGAAGTTAGGAGGATATTTCATTAAGAGTGCGATAGTTAAATGATGGCCATGTCTTCAAGTCCATTTTATTTCCGCTTTTATGTGACGTTGTCTAGCTGTTATTAATGATCGAAGCTGCCATAATAAGTACCTTCTGACTCATGTTGTTATTACTTTCGTATAACGGAATAATATTTACGCAATATTCCAGTGATTAAGGATATTTTGAATGTTTTGTTAATATTTTTGGTTTTTGTAAAATATGACATTTAATTATAATTTCAAATAAAATTATATTTGTTATTAGTACTTTTATTATCCTTAATGGTAAATGCTTTGTAAATCAATCTAATTATCTATCTAATATTTAATTTTGTTGAGAGATATACGTGTATGCTATGCACACGTATATCATACTTTGAATTCATGCAGACAAGGTAAAAAAACTTGACGCTTCACATGTAATAGAAAACTGAATCTATTTTTAGGATTTCGTACCAAAAGGTACAAAGGAATCCTTATGGTACTTATGCAACTACTAATTTTGTCGATTTGAAATTGGAATAGTTCTACACACAGATGTAGTAACGTACTACGTTACGTACGTACGTATATAATCTAAGATTTTACATTGGCCCAACCATATTACAATAGAAATATTTATTTTTTTATTTATTTATGCTTTACTGACTACATTACAAAAAAAAAAATGTCTGGTACAAAAGGCGGACTTAATACTATACAGCATTCTCTCCCAGTCAATAAATATTTTTATTTTCTTTGCTAAACGGTCTGAAAACGGGTACTCAAAATTCTTAAATTCGACCTACAAGTGACGTTTACTGGTAGTCCGCATTTTTAACAATCTTTTCACCCATTTTCTTTAGATAAGTATGATGGTAAGTGATCGTCATGATGATGAACACTAGCAACATCTAGAATGGTTGATAAGTTGAGCCTTGTAAGGGCGCCGAATAAATTACATATAATATGAAATCAATATAATAATCATCAATATAAAAATATTAATATTTCGCACATAAACTGATGATGTTAGAAAGTGGTTACCATTGCATATACAATGACAACAAAGGAATATACTGGGTACAGAGGAATAACACCTGAGTCCTCAGGAATGGCAACGCATGGGGGGTATCATGGGCGAAACAGTATACTCTGTTATGTCCATGGTACTTCTCATGTCTATAGGCGACGGTTACCACTTTCCATCAGGTGGACCGTCAGTTTGTTTGCTATTCTAAGTTGTATAAAAAAAAAACCATGCCACATTGTCACACATTAAGTTATATTTTGTTGTCTTTTATAGTGTTTCGTAGCATTCCAATACAAAGAATTTGTATTATTCATATATCCAGTGTTATTCAATGATGTTAGTTTTATTTCGGAATTTACATAAGTAATAACATATACGAAGAAATTATCGGAATCCCCTTTAAATAAAATTTGCGGAACATTATGCTACAATTTGTTAATATTAATAAATACAATTTCCCGTCGTGACGTACTTTGTATTATACAAATGAGGTAAATCACCTAAACCTGTTTTAAGAAGACGATTCTTTCGTCACGCATTCTAATGTAGACAATGATTGTTGTAGCCGAAGTAACTAACTGAAGTATAGGTATTCTCTATGCATCTATATTTTGTCGCTTATAAAGTGGCTGTGTTTGTACCTGCTGTGTTGTTGGTATAGGTTGGCGGAGTACCAGTGAATAAAATAAAAGATTTTTCTTTATACCACAAAGGTAGCAAACAAGCATACAGCCTGTTGGATGTGGTGTATGGATGCCTGCAACATTAGGTGTGTCACGTGCAACGTGCACGACCCTGAAGGAACTTTAATATACACTTTTTGAAGAACGCGATACTGTAGTCTCTAGGGAAAAACTCGGTAGGGAGCTCATTCCACAGTCTAAGCCTTCGCAGGAGAAAATTTCTTTTTAAACCGCATTGTACGTGACCATTTAGGTTCAAATGTGTAAGGATGAATGAAAGGCGAGGATGTAAGCGACCTGCCTTAATCCCTATCTTTATTTATTTATTTATTTTTCTATATTGGCCCATAGTAACGAATCTAACAAGAATTAATTAACCGTTACAATTTTCAAGAGGATCACGCAGAGATCGAAAAATAGGTTATATTGACTTCATTACTAACAATACCTTACGTGAGAAAAGTGACTGCGTTAATTAGGTACATCTTGATTTTAATAATATTTTTCGCAAAAAAGTATGTTTATTCCTGATTCACAATTACAGATTATGTATTAATATGCTGTGACACACATCTATTGAATTCTTCTACCGAAAAAATTTATATTCAGAACAGATGTTTTTCTTGGACCTACGAGTGTTGATACTTAATTTACTAAAAAATAATGGAAGATACAAAGTCAAACAACTAGGTATTGACTGACCATGGCTTAGTTTGTCTTTCTTCGAAATGTGTTCGTGGCATATTTTTTCTATAGTAATATTTGTGACACGATTTTCCTGTACTTGTAACCTTTTTGGAAGCAGTGGTACAATCAATAGTTTTTAATATGTTACTAGTCACGATTGTCTGCATTTAATGGAACTTTGTATAGATAGACAGATAGATACTCTTTATTGTTTCCTCCAAAAGATTACAATAGTAAACTTATTATAAATATAAATAATTACAAGAAATAATCACAATGAGAAAACAATGGGCGACCTTATCGCTAAGAGCGATCTTTTCCAGGCAACCTTTGTATATATATTGATATTATTTGAAAACACGACTGCATGGGAAAAAAACTAGTTTAACTATTGATCTTTAAAAATGCCCTAAACATTGAAACCGGTCAGGTATTTATTATAACAATTTTTCAATCGACTTAAAAAGAAGAACATTCTCAATTTAGTTATATTTTTTTTTATGTTTGTAATCACATAACTCCGTCAGTTCTAAATTGATTTGGGAAATGCTTTTTGTATCTGAAAGGGTATACTTACAGTTTGCTCTCGATGAAATATTATCAAAATCTGTTCAGTAGATTTAAAATTAAAACCCACTGTTGAAGTCGATTTTTTGTGGGATACAATCTTTTATTTATGAAAGAGATTATTTGTGAAAGAGGCTAATTTTTTTTATACAATTTAGAATGGCAAAACAAGCTGACGGCCCACCTGATGGAAAGAGATAATCGTCCCCTATAGACATGAGCAGTACCATGGACAAAACAGAGTATACTGTTTTGCCCATGATACCCCTCATGCGTTGCACATTCCGGAGCACTCAGATGTTATTCCTATGTACCCTGTAAATTCACGCCATATCTCACCCTTCAAACCGAAACACAGCCATGCAAACACAGCTGCTTTACGGTTGAAACACGAATGGGACAGAGGTACCCAAGCAAACGACTTTTGTACAAAGTTTCCCTCTGGTAAACTCGTATTACTTAATTGATAGAATAAAAATAAATAAGTAATAAATCGGTCCTGCCCAAGTTTTATGACTATAGACTAGTTTAATGGAATTATAATATCTTAATGACTAATAGTTCCTAGAATTACTGTTTTATCTATGGTTTCTTAAGAGCAGTGACCGCTCAGTTGGATAACACTGACTGGGTTCAGAAAATTATAAGAGCGAATAGAATAGAAATATTTTTGATTTAAATAGACTTATTTACAAACGCTTTTAAAACCTCATTTCCATCAGGGTACAGAGGAATAACACCTGAGTCCTCAGGAATGGTAACGCATGGGGGGTATCGTGGGCGAAATAGTATAGTCTGTTACGTTCATGGTATTGCTCATGTCTATAGGCAACGGTTACCACTTTCCATCAGGTGGGCCGTCAGCTTGTTTGTCATTCTAAGTTGCATAAGAAAAGTAAAAAAACTGTAAAAGTTGTATGTGAATCTAAATATATAAATACAATGTAGTACTGTTCTGTAGCTTTTAAGTACATTATGCACGCTTGAAGCTAGGCATATGACTTTATATAGAACGAAATTACTCTATTATTACTATTGGAATTTCCTCACATTTTCCCGGTCGTGACGTCAACCTGTTATCAAACCCGTATCTTAGATGGTGAAACTTATTTATTTTCCCTATAAAATACGTGAGTGAATATTTATTTGTATGAATAACAGATAAGAATTGGAAGTCAGTATGTAATATTTGCATTGAAAAATCAAGTAAGATTTTTTATTAAAATAAAAATTTTAAAGGGTTTTCACAATCTTTTATTTTACTTGTTTTGTTTTTTATGTTTGAAGCATGGACGAAATTAATTACAGACGTACTTTTTCGCCCATGGCCTAAAGTCATTGCAATCTACTTTTTATAAACTTGCTGACGTCTGATTGAGTTAAAATTGGTTATTATTATTATATCAGCCGTTAACTGTCCACTCTTGAACATAAGTCTTCCCCATTTTAATGGATGAAATTGGAATAGTTACCCCATCTGCGCTATCGGGATACGCTGGCGGGACATCAGTGAGGGATGATAGGTGAAGATGAAGCAGGTCAATTGACCCATCGTGTAGAATTCATCAAAAATTAATCATGATGGTTTCTAGGGGGAATCGCGTGGAGGTCGACCTGTTATTGCTAGTAATAGGTTTGTTGGATTTCATTACTAACAATCCCTGTGTCCCCCAGGGAGGGGGCGGGTTGCCAGTAGTTGTCACGCTTAGCAGGAGGGTTGGCGCTGCTGCCTATCCCTCGATCGTTCCCTCAGTCGTCTCTTACGATACCCACGGGAAAAAGGAGTGGCTCATTCTATGCCAGGACCACACGGTATACGGCTAAAATTTACTTATGTAAATTTTGTGACAATATAATATTAGTTCTATCAAGTCGGTTTGGTATTGAAGATTCTATTATTATTGTATGGTGGCAGTGGCCATACGATCGATGTGTGCTTTAGCAAATAGATAGATAGATAGATAATTTATTTACATTACTTACAGCACATAAATTTCAATAAAAAACATACACATAATACACAGTAAAAGAGATAAAAGAATGAAGATAAAAAAGCACAAAACAAAAAAAAACAAAATATATAAACTAACAATTTCCTTTCTTTCCTTTCCTTCATGCGTATGCCATAGTAACACAAAATGGTCACAACTCAGTTTATTGCTTTGCCCTTAAAAGAGCAAAACACTGATATAATAAGGATAAAGTCAAATTAGTTGGAAAATAATCACCGCTAGACCGCAACTTGATGGGTAAATTGTTAACAATCAGACTGCTGGTCTTCGTTAGCACCAATTTCCTCTTATATAAAATATTATCATGGTATTATTATTATGGTGTGGAGGCATAGAACCTCAATTTGGGAGGAAAGGGATTGTTAGTAATGGAGACTGAGAATCCCATTGCTAGCAATATACCCAACCAGGTCGACCTCCTCGCGGTTCCCCCTGGAAACTATCATGGTTAATTCCTAACGAATTCATCATGATGGGCTAACTGGCCTGTTTTCATTCTCATTTATCATCCTTCACTGGTGCTTTGCCAGCGTATTCCGTTAGCGCAGGCGGGCATACCGTTTTCACTCATCAAAAAAATGCACCTCAATTTTCAGGAGAGCATGTCATAGTGCATTCTGTATTGTCTATGATGTTATTAACTTGTTTGTCTTTCCATACTGTAAAAAAAAAAGAAAAAAATGTTGGAAAACAAACTTCTTAATACTAAGATTAGTGTCTAAAATCTTAATAATGGATTAAAGTTACAATGACAGCAATTGTTCACTTTTAAACTATTGCATTAAATAAAATGTACGTGGGAAAAACGTATGCACGATCAATAGACGTGCGTTGCGGATATTGCGGTTACTTCAACACGAATCATTCTTAGAAGCTAACACGTCTTTATAATTAAATTCCCTATGCGTGATTGAGTAATAGACATTAACTTTTTGTTTCTTTTTATAGTAATTATAATCGTGACAAGCATACAGCCTATTTGGTAGTAATTGTCATAGATTAGTGATAGTAAACAGAACGAGTGAGAAGTAAACAGATACATAAGCGATATTTATTTTTACTCCTTTATTCAGAAAAACGTCTGACCTCTCATAAAATTATTTTAGCTATTAAACCGCTTTGTCTTTTTCTCTTGAGTTAAATTTCTAAATTGAAAGATAGTGACAAAACTATGTAATAGTTAAAAGAGATTTGTAGAAGGTTTTAGTTTTTATGAATAAGGGAGTTAGTGTCTCCAAACTGCTTCTCTGTGAAAGTACCAGGGACGTCACGTGCGCTTTGGTCATTTTAAAAATGTTATTTTGACCTTTTAAAAGAATCTTAAGTTGTAATCTAAATAATAATAAGTTTTTTTTTATAGAAATAATATTTGTTTATTTACCTTAACATTCTATTATTACCACAGATAATACTAATATTATCACTTAAATGTGAAGTTACTAATAATGTTGAGTTGCCGAAATTGTTTTTTTAAGTATTAAAAATGAAGGAAGTAGGTATAAAAAGTAAAGGCCAAAAGTATGAGTTGTGCATTGGGACATATCCATTATGTTAAAATTTTGTGCTCGTGAGTTAGTTTGTCTGTTACTTCTAATCGTCCGAATCAATCGTCATGAAAATTGATATACACGTACTATATGGGCGGAGACGTACATAGATAGATAGATAGTCTTGTTTTCTTTTTTTTTATGGATGAAAATGGTATGGTAACCCCTCCTGCGCTAACGGGATACGCTGGCGGAGCACCAGTGAAGGGTGATAGATGAGAATGAAAACAGGTCAGTTAGCCCATCATGAATTCATCAGGAATTAACCATGATAGTTTCCAGGGGGAACTGCGAGAAGGTCGACCTGATTGGGTATATTGCTAGCAATGGGATTCTCAGTCTCCATTACTAACAATCCCTTTCTCCCCAGATAGTCTTGTTTCCTTTAAAAGATTATAATAGTAAGCTACAATAGATACAAACAAATGTAAGAAATGATCACAGCGAGAAAACAATGGGCAGCCTTATAGCTAAAAGCGATCTCTTTTAGGCAACTTTTGGATAGATAGGAGTAATTATAAACAGTTTGATCGGAGGCACGAACAAATTCATACATACAAACATAGGCTACTTTTTTTCTTGACCAGTGAATATATAGTGGATACAGTCGCGTGTAAAAGCTATGTTCTCTATAATCGCGAAAGGGTGAAAAACCCACCTTAACGAAATGGTGAAAGTTTGTGAAAGTCTCAGCCTTTATTGTAGGCACAAATGTAATACCTAACATAAAGTACGCGCGACTCGATTATCGAGTATTGGAAATACCCAACAAAACATTGTAGTATATTCATAAGCCATTAGTTTTTATGTTCCAGTATTTTTAGTGCCTTAAATTTTTTTGAACCTGACTCCTATAGGCTATTAGCTAATTGTAGGAGGAGGCTTTTCATTTATTTACATAAGTTTATTGATCAAAAGAAAATATGGTACAAAAGGTGGGCTTAAAACTGGTAGCATTTTTTACCACAAAATTTTGGGATGAACAGTAAATTACGAATACGGTATTTTTATGTGTTTATTTTAAAATTCCGGCCTTTTAAATCGATGTAGATTTATTATGAAAACGTATATATATATACTACAAAAATAATAATTTTTGTAGTATCTACTTAATTTCCCTCCAAAAATGACATAATATTTTTTAGTTTCATTAGTAAGACACTTAAATTGTTAGTAATGGGGTCTTCATTACTAACAATCTCTTACCCTCCGCTCAAAATTTTTTCCCTTTCTTAATCAATATTACTTTAGGGGAAATGTAGAATTTGATTATCTCTGTATGAGGGGAGACATTAGTAGATTAACTTTGTGTTCATGTAAACAGATGGTTACGACTTTCCACTGGGATCAGCCGTCACCTAATGAATTCTAATATAAATTATATTAGCTACGGAACCCATTCCTTTGGTGAACTTTTTGCCGTCTTCATTTCGTACAATACAAAATACCCATATGCGTTTGACCGTTTGTTTGTATTAAAACCTTGCGGTCGCCGCTTGTTGATAAACCAGTAACATTATGACCGCCACGAGACGTGGTCGATTTGTTTGATACGTGTTCAGGGAAAACGTTCATGTTTATTTTATTACAACTATGTTAAGGATCAATACGACTTAGTGACTTTTGTGTTATAGAAAATAAGCTGGTTTGTGGTTAATAATTGCATGAAATAAGAGACGAGACGGATCTTCTTTCACCTTGAACCCAAGTTTTTATTATCAAGTGGTTTTCCTCGTAGGTACCTATTATAAGTGTTCGACATGATTTCAAGAATTTATTTTATACTTTTTGTTGGTAAGTATTTGCTAAACCTTCTACTTATATGTGTAAATAATGCTCTGTTTGACAGATTATACAATTTAAATGCATAATTCTCTAAATTAGACGGTTTATAAACAAATAAAAGTATTTTTTTTCCACTCACCATTAGGTATATTTTATATAAGAATATTTTCATTAGCAATATCTAAGTATTATATACATTGAATACATCATCGATTGTAAATGCTATTCGATAAACTAATCGATTAATTAAATACCTATTACGATTGGTCTAGGTACCTATTTGATATCTACTGGTCTATTATATATATGTACAAGTATATATCTGTCTTGTATCTATTTGAGTTAACAGGAATATAATTTGTTTTACTATTTGTTTATTTAGACAAGTTTAAAATTTGACAAGAATGCAAATGAAGACAATGTTGGTTTCCATATTAGATTTAGGTATTAAGATAGAAGTTGCTATATTTTTAACCGACTTCCAAAATAAAGAGGTTCTCAATTCGTTTGTATTGTTTTTTGTTTGTTCATAACTCCTGTCGTTCCTCATAACTCTGCCAATTGTAAATCGATTCGGCAAATTTTTTTTTATATGAAAATATATACTTACAGATTGGTCCCATAGAATTTTTATCATAATCGGTTCAGTCGTTTAGTTTTAAATAAAAAAAAAAAACCGGTTTTGCCACAATTGAAGTCATTTTTATGTGGAGCACAATCTCATTTAAAAAGCAAAATGTGTTTTGATATTTTTTTTATTTCTCTAAAATCAGTCAAATTAATAAACTTTATTAGCACTATTATAATTTGTAATAAAATCATTTTAATTTTTAATAAATTATAGTTTATAAACCAAAAATCTACAAGAAAACGGTTAAATACATCTAAATGTCTAATATTTGTTTACATTAGCTGAAATATATGATTATGTAGGTATATATAATATGTTTGGACAAGTCTATCGAAAGGTCAAACAAAAGGTTAACGTGCCTGCACAATTATGTGATGATAACAAAACGTTTTATTTTCTCACCAGTGAGTGAAATCGGGACACATTTTTGTTGGGGTTCCTATTTTATATGTATAATAATTAATTATAGTTGTAATAATTATAGTTGTCTTAACTATAGTTGCCATTCGTGTTTCAACCGTGAAGCAGATGTATTTACATGGCTGTGTTTCGGTTTGAAGGGTGGAATATGACGTGAAATTACTGGGTACAGAGGAATAACATATCTCATTAATTCTACTAATATTATAAATGTGAAAGTTTATAAATATGTTTGTACAATTTATTCCTTTATTCCATCTTCCTCTTTTTGATACTGCATCACGAGAATGGGGCGGCGACTGCATTCATACACGGTAAACCATCTGCACTCGTGTACAAATAAGTTTACCAACTATTACGTGAACCGTACCGTAACGATGTGGAATGGCCTTTCCCGTGACGTAATTCATTCATCTTATAACCTTGGATCCTTCAAACATACGTATCTTATCAGAGGGAGACTTTGTACAAAAGTCGATTGCTTGGGTACCTCTGTCCCATTCGTGTTTCAACTGTGAAGCAGTTGTGTTTGCATGGCTGTGTTTCGGTTTGAAGGGTGGGATATGGCGTGAATTTACAGGGTACAGAGGAATAACACCTGAGTCCTCAGGAATGGCGACGCGTGGGGGGTATCATGGGCGAAACAGTATACTCTGTTATGTCCATGGTACTGCTCATGTCTAAAGGCGACGGATACCACTTTCCATCAGGTGGGCCGTCAGATTGTTTGCCATTCTAAGTTGTATAAAAAAAAACGTAGCGTGAAAAAGCATTTAGCGAGCTGGCATAGTGCGGTCAACCGTAGGGAGTAAATATTTTTTATCTTTTCTTTTCAGTAGATACCGGTACTTTCGGTCGTACCCTTGGACCATATAATTTCTGTGTTCGCTCAGAAAGGTGTGGTCACATATCATGCTGCAATAGAAAACAAAAAAGTTAACAGCTGATATGATGATTATGATGATATATAATTGAATTGTGTTTCATAAATAAAAAAAAAACAGTCTTTAATTGTGTCAAAACTAGTTATTTTATTTTGAAACTAAACTACTGAACCGATTTTGATAAAATTTCAATAAGATTAACTTGCAAATATATTATTTCATATAAAAAAAATAAATATCTTAATTAGTTTACAATTAACGGAAAGATTACAAACATAAAAAAAAATGAAATTGAGAAATCTTTTTATTTTAAATTAGTTAATCAAAGAAAATATTCATATTTATAATTAGTAAAGATGGATTCTCATAACATCATGTACAATAATTCATCTAAAGTTAGAATTTAAATTAGACATTAATGACATTATAGTTGGTGTAGGATGAAAAGTGAGTACGCAGGAGTATGTTTTTATTTTATACTCGCTATTTCTCGCGGATTTTTCCGCTTGAATCCCTCATCTATCTCTTGGTACCAAATTTTTTTAATGAATGAAAATAAAATGGTAACCCCGCCTGTGCTAATGGTATACGCTGGCGGGACAACAGTGAGGGATGATAGGCAAGAATGAATATGCAATGTCAGTTAGCCCATCGTGATATATATATATATATATATATATATATATATATATATATATATATATATATATATATATATATAAACGTGGAATTTAGCACGATAGTTTCTAGGGGAGACTACGTGGAGGTCGACCTGAGTAAACTGCTAGCAAATTACTAACAATCCCCCCATGTTCTTGGTACTTACATAGGGTATACCAATAGCTCAGGCGGGATTATCATTCTATTTTTCATGCCAATATGTGTTGATCAGTACAGTTAGCAAATTAAGTACTAAATACGTGACTATGAATAGATTATTTCTAATCATAAAATAGTATCTATCAATTTAACAGCAAAGCACATTATTTGCAAATAGTAATATTACAGCCTTACACTGTGGTAATATTTTGCGAGATCACGTTTCAAAGTAAGCCAAGCTATCTACGCATGTACACACCTATAGGTAGAAATGTTTTTTTTTTAATGGATGATAATGGAATGGTAACTCCGCCTGCGCTATCGGTATACACCGGCGGGGCACCAGTGAGGAATGATAGGTGAGGATGAAGCAGGTCAGTTAGCCCACCGTGACGAATCTAACATAAATCAGTCATGATGGTTTCCAGGGGAAACTAGAGGAGGTCGACCTGACAAGGTATATTGCTAGCAATGGAGCTACTAATCCTCATTACTAACAATCCCTTCTCCTTTCAAAGGTAGAAATATATTAGTCAAGTAGATTAAAATCATTATTCTCATATTAGCCGTGAACTGTCCACTGCTGAATATAGGCCTCTCTCATAAAGGGGTTTGCCAATAGTTGCTACACTTGACAAGCGAGTTGGCAACCGCAGTTAGACTTTGGTAATGTTTGAAGAGAAACACTGCACACCTATCTCTCCACCGTTAAACTCAATTAGTTACCTCTTACGACAGCTACGGGAATGGAAGGAGTCCCATTCTATCCTGGGACCACATGACAATATTTGATATGTTTACTGGTACTTACTTATTGTTCACGTATAAATTTTCTTCGTTATTACAGCTCCCATCGTGTACACCACATCATCAAGTTCTGTTCCGCCTATAGACCAACATGTTCTCGAAGATATCTTCGGACCGTTGTCATATCTCGCCTCTGCATCTTCCCTCTCCCAGGCCGTAGCAGTCAGACCTTTAAATGATACTGAGCCGCAGTACTTCGACGACCGTGATTACTATTCCCCACCTGCTGTAGATTACGATAAATTTGATTGGGGACTCACAAAGGTATTTTTATAATGATTTTATTTATTTTTTTATTAAACTTTAATACACCTGGATAGTGTAAATGGCGGACTTAACACCATTATGGCGTTATCTACCAGTCGATTATAGAAAATAATAACAGAAAATATAATTGACGGTGTAATGTGATGAGCAAATAAATAGAAAAATCAATATATTGAATTTTGAAATTTTATATATCTTTTTATGCAATATAAAATGGTAGACAAGCTGACGGTCCACCTGAAGGAAAGTGGTAACTGTCGCCTACAAACATGAACAGTAACGTGGACTTCAGGAAAATTTAATGATAATAAACTCATGCGATCAATAGAGATGTATTACAAGGAGTATTTATACAGAATGTGCATATAAAAAAGGGGGCCTTATTTCTAAAAGCAAACTTTTTCAGACAACCTGGAATAAATAGTAGATAAGTACAGAGAGAAAGGTAGATGGCGTATGTCCGACACAGTGAATACAAAAAAGTAACCAAACAAAATGCATAATATTCTAAATATCTATGTAATTTTTGGGATAATGTTGTTAATTTAATTTTTAAATATTGATCTTGCATTTTTAGAGCTTGTGTTAATGTTTAATGGTATTCAAAAGAAGTTGTGGAATTTGTCTCTTCACAATAACGTCTAATTACTAAGGTGTGAGGGTCCGATTTTTGTTATGATCAAACTGTTAAGACATCAACTTTTTTTTTATACAACTTAGAATGGCAAACAAGCAGAGGGCCCACCTGATGGAAAGTGGTAACCGTCGCCTATAGACATGAGCAGTACCATGGACATAACAGAGTATACTGTTTCGCCCATGATACCTCCCATGCGATGCCATTCTTGAGGACTCAGGTGTTATTCCTCTGTACCCAGTAAATTCACGCCATATCCCACCCTTCAAACCGAAACACAGCCATGCAAACACAACTGCTACACGAATGGGACAGAGGTACCCAAGCAATCGACTTTTGTAAAAAGTTTCCCTATGGTGAACAAAGTATGAACTGCTAATACTTTTTATAAATATGATAGATTGTGGCGAGTGTATGTATATTCCAATAGCTGAATTGATTAGAATGAAATGTTTTTTTTTAATTCATACATATACGGGTATATATACGTACTTTTATTAAAGCATATTTATCATTATCATCATGAACATATCAGCTGTCATCTGCCAACTGCTGAACTTAGGTCTCCCTCATAGATTGCCATAAAGAATGGTCCTAAGCCACATAGTATTCACTGCTTTTCTGCAACGTATTTGAGGTCGTCACAACCTGCCTATGCCCGTATTAAACCATATTTTACAAGTAATATTACCAGAAAGCTTCATTAATTCATGTTTTTTGTTAATGTAGTACTATTTTACTATTATAATATTTATATTAATTCTCCAGCGTGTGGCGTCGGCTTCTAGCAAGAATTTCCTGCTCTCTCCATTGGGGTTGAAGCTGGCACTGGCTATACTCACAGAAGCGGCGACCGGTCCTACACGCGCCGAAATGGCTGCAGTACTAGGTTTTGAATTGGATAAGAACGTTACCAGACAAAGATATACATCTATAATCGAGTCTTTAAAGGTAAATGTTTGAAACTAAAAGAGATACATGGTGTGCGTGAAAGACTAAACATATGATCATATAGGGAGTGATTACTTCTCAAAGAGAGTTGACGTCAGGCAGGTGGCCGGTCGTAAAACTAAAAACCAAATCTTTTTGTAATATGGATAAAACCATATTACGCAGACCCCAAATGATTGGGATAAGGGTAGGAAGATGATAGGGAGTGATTACTGGAATGATTACAAATAAACATAAATGGAGGAATTCAATTTTTTTTTAATGGGGCTGAATAGTAACTCCGCTTGCGCAATCGGTATACGCCGGCGGGTTTCCAATGAAAGATGATAAATGAAGGTGACGAATTTTACAATAATTCACTACGATGGTTTCCAGGGGAAACCGTGTGGATGTCGACCAGATAGAGTATATTGCTAGCAATGGGGCTGTTAGACCTCATAATTAACAATCCCTTACGATGATTTCAAATGATATGGGATATCAACAGGCAAATTAATGAGACTTGTCCATAAAAATATAATATAGCGAAATATTTTTTGTTAAGATTACATATTACCTTTTATTAAAAGTTTAACATATAGTTTTTGTTATTGTAGTACAAATTTTTAATCATAATAGGTTGTGATTTTTTTTTTATAAATGATAATGGAATGTTAACCCTGCCTGCGCTATCGGTATACACTGGCGGGGCACCAGTGAGAGATGATAGGTGAGAATGAAAAAGCAGGTCAATTAGCCCATCGTGATGAATTCACTTGAAATTCAGCACGATGGTTTCCAGGGGGACCACGTGGAGGTTGACCTTTTTGGGCATATTGCTAACAATGAGACTGGTAGTGCGCATTATTAACAACCCCCCCCCCCCCATTCGATTGTGATTTATAACTATGAGTATGTTGAGTAATATTGTTCATGTTTAAAGACAGATTGTTTGGAATTATAAGTTACATAAATAAGAATATTGGCATTGCATAAATGTACTTACTTTTCGCAAATCAATCGTTGTAAAGTATATACTAGTATCGCAGCTAGTTAGAGAATGAAACTCCTATCGAATTAAACTACTTATCGAATTTGAATCTTGTTCATAGGGCCTCCTTAGGCTTGGATTAAATAAAGTTATCAAAATTAAATCTTCATATTTTTTTTCCTAAAATTCCTAAAATGCTATCCTAATCTTTTATATTTTCATCATTAAGTTCACAAGTTTTTTGTTTATCTAAATTGTCTTTCTGTCCATAATTGATTACTGGAATGTAAGGAAATATGTTTCTTTTCTTTCACAGGTCTCGTCACCTGATTACATTCTCAATTTAGGCAGTCGAATCTACTTAGAACATAGTATAGTACCAAAACAGCGATTTGCAGCTATTGCCGAACAGTTTTACGATACACAGTTAAGAAGGATCAACTTCAGCGAGCCGCTGATAGCATCCAAGGAGATAAACGAATGGGTCACTAATGTTACACACGGCAGGATTACTAATTTAGTAGATCATGGTAAGTTCAAAATTACGACGACAAGAAACTTTTGAAATTGGAAGACGATATCTTTACATGAGTAGCAATAATAATAGTAACAAATAGAAGATTTATTATAAATCAGTTTTTACACGCAACTATGTCCAAATGGCCGGTATAAATAGAAGCATATGTTCTACTCCATCCCTTATACTACACGTACATATACTAAATATCATAGTTTTTGGTTAAGTCGTTAAACTGTTAAGAAGTAACAACCAATTTAACTCATTTTTAGATTTATAATATTTCTAAGAATTTTGAGCCTTTTCTTTATTTAGGCATATCTTTTCAATTTTATCAATTGTATCTCAACTTATTTAATGTGCAAATAAAGCGAAAATTGGTCATTTAGATGCATATTTAGCAATGTATGATGAAAATGGAAAATAACTATCTGTTGACAATTAAGACACAGTGATGAAGAGTCAGTATTTTTAATCAATTCTCAATAAAGACTTTGATTAAGTTGTTGATTTCTCATATCATATCAGCCTCTGCAGCTATCCACTGCTTACTTAAGGTTCCATCCAGTTTTGCCAATAGTTGCCACGCTGCGCTGGGCAGGCGGATTGGCAAGCGCAGTGAGGCTTTGATCATGTTTTAAGAAAGTCGCTTCTTACGACCCCCACAGGAAAGGAGTGGGAGACCTATTCTATGCCGGGATTACATGGCAAATGTTATTGATTACCATATAATTAATATTTTATTTTTAATGTAATTTATTTTAGTAATATGGTAAATATTTAAAGCTATACATTCAAACAAGTGGTTTTTAAAGTAGGATATCTCGAGTTACGAGGTAAAAGACATTAAACACCCAGACACCCATAGCAGAGTCAATTTAGAAAAAATTGTTTCCTAAATTGTCCCAACTGAGAATTGTATCCGGAACCTCATTTGCATAAGGCACGTGCCCGCCACTACGTAACCCGTCAGTATTATGAAAAAAAAACACTAAAATGTTTTGCTATATACACAGCTGATTATATGTCTAACACACCCGCACAGACATACACATACATAAATACATATATATGAAAGAGTCTATTTTACCACATACACGATGGCTTTTTCATCCAACGCAAAATAATCGCGGTACTGTCACTGTTAAATGAGAAATAGGTTTTTATTGTACAATAAAACGTGTGTTAACTTTACAAGCCGGATGATACATCCGCTATTTGCCTGCAAACACATTAGGGTATTCAAATTTACACAGTGTGAATCGTGTGAAAGAGCGTGCTTCATTGTTCCGAGAAATACAGTTTTGGATTACTCAGTCTAGATCAAATAGATCTGGAGTCATTAATGATGACAATTTATTTAGAAGCTATTTATATACATATGTGCTATAATTTAATGACTTTTTTATAGTCTAGTCTCTGATGCTAGCAATTTACACTGTAAAGTCGAACTCTATCCTGGAAACCTTCGTGATTATTATTATATCAACCGTTAACTATCTACTGCTAAATATCCTTTCCCATAAGGATCCCCCTTTACCAGTAATTGCCACGTTTGGTAGGCAGGTTGGCAACCGCAGTTAGGCTTTAGTGATGTTTCAAAAGGGATCGCTGCTATTCATCCCTCGATCATTAAGTTCCCTTAGTCGCCTCTTACGACATCCAATAGCAAGGAGGGGTTGGTCTATTCAATGCTTTTTTTTTGTTGCAGACGACCTCGAGAACGCCGTAATTCTTATTCTAAACACACTATTCTTCAAAGGAAGCTGGAGGTATCAGTTCTCACCAAATGCGACCAAACCTGGAACCTTTTACGTGTCTCCCAATGAACCCAAACAAGTGCCAATGATGAGCATCAAAGAAAAGTTCTATTATGTAGAAACGACGAAGTATGATGCCAAAATATTGAGGATGCCTTATTTGGTATGTAAAGTTTGAGGCTGGACATTAAATCAAAAAGTTAATATTAAATTGAAAATTTTTAATAATTGAGATAGTTGTTAAAAATTTTATGATTAAGTTTAGCTAATATATATAAGACTGGACGATTAAAAGTGACTTCTAATTATGTTTAAATTAGGTGTATAAGATTTTCTTATGTTACGTTTCTCGCGTAAATTTACTTTAATGTACATTGTATTTCGTAATTCACAGTTCATTATAAAGGTCGAAAAAGGTAGAGAATGCTACTAGCATTAAGTCCGCATTTTGTGCCATATTTTTCTTTGGTCAATAAAGTTATTTAAAAAAATTAATAAATTTTCCTACGCAAAGTTTTTTCTATTTCTTGTGTTTTCACTAACTATTGTTTTTGTTTTCAGGGTAAAAAATTTGCAATGTATATAGTAGTTCCAAATTCTCTGACGGGGTTAGCAAATGTGTTGAACGGGCTAAGTGAGTTACAAACCGAGATGAACTATTTGAAGGAGCGGATGGTTAATGTCATTCTGCCTAAATTCAATTTTGATTACACCGCCATTTTAGATGAAGTCTTGAAAGAGGTAATTTGAACATAATCGTAATAACAAAAATGGTTCAAACTAATTGAATTGTTTAATGTTAACATAGTACACTATCATTTCATCATATCAGCCATTATCTGATCACTCCCGAATAAAGGCATCCCCCATAGACTGCCATAAGGAACAGTCCTGAGCCACTTGCATCTACATCCTTCAATGTATTTGATGTTGTTGTTCCGTGACGGGTCAACCTATACTGTGTTTGCTTGTATGGGGTTGTCACTCGTTTCATCCCTATCGGTGGTAGGTGTGTAGGACATCTTGCATTTATTACTTACTATTATAATATTAACGTTTTTATTCTAGATGGGAATAAGGCTATTGTTCGAGGATACTGCTAACCTCCCTGGCATTTCACGGGGACAAGGCCTGCAGCAGCGACTGAAGGTGTCCAGGGTACTCCAACGGTCTGGTATTGAAGTGAATGAACTTGGCAGCGTCGCTTATTCCGCAACCGGTAGGATGTTTTACTATTTTGTGTATATACAAATTCATGATTGTTTAATATATAATTTAAGATTTTGTTCAAAAAGAAAAAGAGCTATTTCAATTATGACAAATTAGTATAAAATTAATACAATAACCTTTTAGATTGCAAAAAGAATAATTAAAATAGGTTCAGAATTGACAATAATGTTAAGTATGCAAAAAATACGAGTTGAGAATCTCTTCCTTTTTAAGAGAATTGACTCAGTGTGACTTAAAATTTTATAGCACCTTGCGGCGTGGTAGTTAATCTTGTACTAACTGGATTTAATACATATTAACTAGAATAAATCGATATTAATTTAATTCAAAAGATGTTAACTAAAAAAATATGATTTCAGAAATATCATTGGTGAATAAATTCGGTGAAGACGATGATGTCAGTGAAGAAGTGTTAGCGAACAAGCCGTTCTTGTTCTTTATACAGGACGAGGTAACGAGGCAACTGCTGTTCACAGGCAGGGTTACCGATCCCTTAATCCTTGATGGTGCATTTCATTAACCATGATCTGTTAGTTTCTGAATGTAAATGACCTTTATGATTAAGAGAAATGTCACGTCTTTGCAAAAAGCATTATATAATATCACATCGCAAAACATTATAATTTATTTATAATAAAAAACGTTAAAAATATTATTTAGGGCAAAGTGTTTGTTAAGTTTTAATATTTTCAAAAAATTTAATAGTCTCATAATGAGATAGATTTTGAATATTAAAAATTTTATCTAGATAACCATGATTAAGCAAAAAACTTGTCCAGTAAATATTTTTATTAACTGACATTTGACTTATATCTTTACCCCCAGCGAAGATACCGGAGGTTTAAAAGTATGGTGGGTAGTTTTGAAAAGAAAGAGGTTGTGTTATTTACTTGACTTGGCTGAGACAATGTCGACTCCCAGATTTCGTGCGTCTTTTAAATACTTTTCTAAATACACGTACATTTTTAGTTTTTGATTACTTCGGTTAATGACTTCCATGATTTTAATTAATTATGTTTTGAGTTACCACAGCCTAGGGTAATGACTGTGGTAAAATAATTTTCCTAAGTTGCCACAATTCGAGTAAATAATGTCATGCACTATTCGTGTGTACATGTCACAATGTTAATTTTTTTTTATAGAATATAAAAAATATTTAAAAATAACATTTTATAAAAAAAGATAGAGTAATTCTTTTTTGGAATCTGCTAATAATAAGAAGCTATATATTACTTGACATCAAACAAAAAGTAGCATCTGTACTATTATGCTTATTTTTCGGTTTGCAATATTAAAATATTTATTTCCCATGACTACAGAGTAAAAAGTATAATAAGAGATATGATTTATTTTTGCAAGAATATATAGCAAAAGTAATAAGATCTTACCGAGTTGTGGTAACTTAATTACCACTAATGGTAATTACCACTACTTGTTGATAGAAGTCGAGTACTAATGTGAAATTATTAGCTGAAAATGTGAGATAGTATTCTTAGAAATTTAGATAAGTTTTAGGTTATAAGTTTTTTACAATACACTAAAGACTCGAAACTACAAATATCTACTTTAATGTGTGACAATAATAAATGACAATACTAAAATGTCACTTGACTATATTTGCGGTTTTTTTTTATTTATATATTATTAGTTTATGTTTTGTAACTTACATTACATTTGTTTTATATTTCAAGTAAGAATGTGTTACCTTATAATTTTTTTTTTATTTAATTCGATATGCCATTTTATTTTCATTTGTCATGTTTAAGCACAATACAGTAGGAATCTAATATCTAATCTGTTTATGTACGTATATAGAGAGTGCCATTTTCTTTTTATAAAAACGGCATTTATTTCAATTATCTTCGAAATAAACACATGATTCTGACACTTTTATGGCTTTTATTTATCCGTGGTTGATTTTTTAAAGTGTGGTGATTTTTATGTGATTACTAAAAGAAAGACGATAAAAATTCATTTGTATTGTTTGGAACTTACTTGGCACTGCGAGTTGGTTTATTGCATTAGGTTTGGTAGGTTACGATAGTAAAATTACAGCATACGGACGCATAATATCACAGTGCGTCTGTGATATGAATGATATGTAAACTGTGATATGATTGCATTGGCGCGAGTAACACCATTGGTATCACAAAGTATATTGTGAAAAGAATACCAGCTGAGTTTCTTGTTAGTTTTTCTTCTCTCGAAATCATTCCGAGCTGATGGTAGATTTGACTTATCATAAGAGTCTGTAACATGAATAAAGATATTTTGAATTCGAATTTGTAATGTCCATGGCGCTATATGTCGTCAATTTTTTGGGTCAATAGTTGCCCCTATGATAGGGGTAACTAATTTTCACCCGTTAAAATAACTACTGTTTTTTTAATGGGTAAAAAATGGAATGGTAGCCACAGTAGTGGATAAGTGAGGATGAAGGCAGGTCAGTTGGCCCATCGTATAGAATTCAACAAGAATTAACCATGATGGTTTCCAGGAGGAATCGCGTGGAGGTCGACCTGATAGGGTATTTTGCTATATATATATATATATATATATATATATATATATATATATATATATATATATATATATATATATATATATATATATATATATATATATAACGATGGGGATGTTAGAACCTATTACTAACAGTCCCTTTCCCCTCTCTATTGATCAGGTGCGAGTAGATCGTAAGACTAGTTAATTTTAAACTTTCGCGTTGTTTACACATATTTTAAATAAAACATCGGCAATATAGAAGCAGGTATGTAGGTACTATTTACCTGCAAAAATGTTTTATCGCGTTAACTCCCGATAGGGTATTTAATAGATCGTTAGATTGTTTGCCATTTGAGTCAAAAAGTCCATTCGTCAAAAAATTTTATTTCTTAGAAGCAGAAATCAACATCTAAAGTACAAGCAGCGTCTATAAGTAATATTTATAATTAAGAGATAAAGAGGTCATTTTTTTACCATCTTAATAATAACTTTAGATTTACTTAAATAACAATTAGTTATTAGGTTTGACCGCAAATGATCGCGTAGTTATCCAATTACGCTCAAGGTCTAAATGACTATTCCAGTTACTGTTTGTCTCTGTCATATCGCGTTCATTGAAATAAGACAGAAAATGTTGTATTCGAGATTCATTCAATTATTCCAAATATCGTTACTCTTATTATGAACGTTAAAATGTATCATTCATTCAATTCTTCTTGGATTTTCCTGTTCCATTAAATAGTAGGTAATTAAGAATTTATTGTGGTGAGACGTGTGTGTCATTTGTCGTTGTAAGACATTTAAAAAAAGAACAACGTTGAAAAATATAATATTGCTGTGTTGGTAAATTATTGATTTATAAAATATGTTTTTTAAAATAAGAACAGGATTAGTTATTGGTAAGTTTTGTACATTTGAATTTTTGAATCGATTATAAATTAGATGGGTATGTTAGATATACATAACTTTGTTAATTAGAAAAAAATATTTCGAGAAATTTTAAGCTATGTAGTTTTATACAGTATTTTTATAGAATGTTAAGATATATAGATACAATCTTCAAATATTTAAATCTATTAAGTATAAAACAATTTTCATTTTACATGCATCATTTCCAAATACCCTCAAAATACACAAAAAAAAACTACTTTATCTACCTGGATATTTGTTTTACACTTTAAATAGTGTTTTTAGTGCCTTAGCTTAACAATATATGAAATGTCAAATTAAATTTCTAACTGACTCTTAGGTGATGGTAAAGACCTGTAACAAACCAAATTAATGTGAATGACGTCGGTAGGCACGAGCCATGTCATGTCTTATTCTAATACGCTCTACGAAGTGTGTATTTTTTTTATTGGCGAGAATGGAATGATAACCCATGAATAAAGGTAGGTCAGTTGGTGCATTGTAAGAAATTCAACAACAATTAACCACAATGGTATTTAATGGGAACCGCGCAGAGGTCGACTTAATAGGGTATATTGCTAGCAATGGATCTGTTAAATCTGTTCAAACCCATTACTGTTGGGGGGAAAGGGATTGTTAACAATGGAGTTTGACAGCCCAATTGCTAGCAATATGCCTTACTAGGTCGACCTCCACGTGGTTCCCCCTGGAAACCATCGTGAACAATTCTTGTTGAATTCGTCATGATGGGCTAACTGACCTACTTCATCCTCACCTATCATCCTTCACTGGTGCCCCGCCGGTGTATACCGATGGCGCGGATGGGGCTACTATTACATTATCATCCATTAAAAAAAACCCATTACTGTTAGTAATGGGTTTTGACATCTATATAATAATATAAGTATAACTTGTCGATATGTGGTTGTTACGTTTACCATAACGTTAATAGTTTACAAATTAAGAATAGTAGTTTATGGTTACCTGGTTGTATTTCGGTTTAAATAGATGGATATTTAAATACACTATTGGGACTTAGGCCTTAGAAAACTTTGCGTGGTGGACGTGGTGCAATCCACGTCGAAATGTTGGCAATAAAAAAAGCAGATGTGCAGATACTGTTTACCTGCAAAGACTTTTCGACGCGCTAAGTACCAATTGTGTATTTGTAAACATTTGACATTGAAATATAGGATTTGGCTGTGAAATTACAAGGTACAGAGGCATGACACCATTATATTTAAGAATGCCAACACATGATTGGTACTATGAGTATCATAGTGAATTTTGTGATATTTTTGATGCTGTACATGTTTATAGGCGACGGATACTGCTTTCCACTAGGAGCGCCTGTACGTAGTTGTGATATCACTGTATGGTCCCAGCATAGAATGGGCCACCCCTTTTTTTCCCGTGGGTGTCGTAAGAGGGGACTAAAGGAATCTAATAGTCGAGGGATGGGCAACAGCGTCTATCTTAAAACACCACCAAAGACTAACTTCGGTTGTCCATTTGCCTGTCAAGTGTGGCAACTATTGGTTAAATTCTCCTTATGGGGAATGCCTATGTTCAGCACTAGTCAGTTAATGGCTGATACAATAAAAAAATAGCTGTAAAGTTGCTGCTTTTTTTCAGTTTTTACCATCATACAATGTCTAAGCTGTCTCGCAAACAGCCAAAGCTCAGACTTCTCACGTCTGAATTTCTTCGACATAGACCTTCTTCGATACTCAGCTGAGGACAAAAAGGGTAATGTGATATTTTCCCCTGCCAGTATAAAGTCTACCTTAGGCATGATACTGGATGGTGCGAATGGTGTGACGGCGAATGAAATAAGAAATGCATTGAGATTGTCGCCCAATAAAGATGACTTTAGATACCAGTTCAATTTGTATTTGAAAGCATTACAGGTATGTTTCAAGAGCAATAAACCATGCCAAATAAATATCTTCGAAAATATTTACTCGATTTTAATAAAATTTTATAAATGTATATTTTTTTTTGATGGGTGAAAATGGTATGGTAACCCCGCCTGCGCTAACGGGATACGCTGGCGGAGCACCAGTGAAGGGTGATAGATGAGAATGAAAGCAGGCCAGTTAGCCCATCATGATAAACTCATCAGGAATTAACCATTATAGTTTCCAGGGAGAACCGCAAGGAGGTCGACCTGGTCGGGTATATTGCTAGCAATAGGATTCTTAGTCTTTATTACTAACAATCCCTTTCCCCCTGTAAATGTATATTGTTTGTTCTAATTTGAAATATAGTATAAGTTTTTTCCCGCTACGTTTAGGCTATGGAATGAGCTGCCTGCCGAGGTTTTTCCTAAAATTATCATAGGTCATAATGTAGACTACATTGTGGATTCTTCAAAAACGATGTATATTAGTGTTATTATATTATGTAGATTAGTTCAAGGTCGGCAACATGCACGAGATACCTCTAGTATTGAAGGTATCCATAGGCTCCAGTGACTGTTTATCATTAGATGGGCTGTATGTTTGTTTGTCATCTTTATGGTATAAAAAATATAGGGTATATTTAATATAGTTTAGTTTTTATTCTGCTAAAAAAAAATAAACTACTACATTACATTTGTAACTTTCTTCTTCTTTTTTTTTTTAAACAAGGGTGATCACAAAGTAAGCATATAGTCCGCTTAATAGTAATTGCTTTTTGTAACTCTATTACAGCAATAATTCGTGCGTTTTTTGTCTTTGCGATATTAAGATTTTTTCTTATTGTATTTATTTATTAATTTTACTGCTTTCACACTCTTGAAACCTTAACGAACATGTCACTCAATCGCAGTATTTTTTATATCCATGTAGACGACTTTGAAAACATGAAATACATTGAATACATTTTGTGAACTTAGATATCGCTCTATTCCTTTGACACGGTACATTTTCACTAGCACATTGTCTGCTTATTTAATAATATTTGTTATAAAAAAAAAATATTACCATTTTACAGTCCAATTCACCAGAAGTGACGTTGACGAATGCCAATTCAGTATTTGTATCGAATAAGTTGAATTTAAAAAAGGAATATGAGACTGCACTGAAACAGATATATTTTTCCGACGTACACAAAGTGAACTTTACGGATCCTATTTTAGCTTCAAAATACATTAATAATTGGGTGAAAAATAATACAAAAGGTCTGATATCGTCTATAGTGGATCCTGGTAAGTTAGTCATATATTAAACAGTACATTTCTTTATACAGTATATTTTTTTATTAGCTTTATAGCAAAAAGTGGAGGTAATGGAAGGTAGTTTTCAATTCTGTTTAAATTTTTTTTTCTATAGAAGACAATAGACTTATCTCCTGCCACGTTAGATGTTTGAATTCTAATATGCTCAGTAAAATATGGGTTTTTTGAATATTCACCACAATGACAACAGTCGACAAATGATAATTCCATTAGGGTTTACAATTATGAGCAATTAATTATTATATAAGGTAGAATGGTAAATAATGGGGAAGGCCTTTGCCTCTATTTGGATTTGCCTATAGGTTATGATTGATTGATTGAATGGCAAACAAGTTGATACCTCACCAGATGGGGTAACCGATGCCTATATATTGATGTGAAAAACTTTATGTATTATACAATAAAATACGATATTATGCCCATAGAAACGTTTAAGCGCTTCTATCCTTGAAAGCTTTTCAAACTAAATTACTGCCATTTATTAACAATATTAAATTTCAGTTAATCTCGAGCCATTGTCCCAAATATTGGTTACAAATGCACTTTACTTCAAAAGCACTTGGAAGCATGCTTTCGATGATAAGCTAACACGTGGCATGTGCTTCTACGACGGCGGCGTCTGTAAGACTGTGGCTATGATGGACTTACAGACAGAACTTAATTACGGGTACATAGATAATTTGCGAGCTCACGCTGTCGAGTTGCCTTATGCGGTAAGTAATATAGTGTACTTCTAATCCTTTATATTTTATGCCATTTTTTTTTATCTCGGCAGTATTATTTTGAGCCACTGAAGTTTATCAACGTTTTAGTCATTTGTCAATTTTTAATAATAATTGAACGATCCTATTAATATTATAAAAGTGAACAATTGTAACGGTGGATGGATGGATGATATATATATATATATATATATATATATATATATATATATATATATATATATATATATATATATATATATATATATATATATATATATATATATATATATATATATATATATATATAATTTAATAGAGATTATATTAGGCGTTATAAAGTTTTGTTACCTTAATGTCACATGTATAATATTGAATGAATAGCCATCCACTAATTCATCATCCAAATGTTTATTATTTTTTCACGTTAAAACTACTGAATGGATTTGAATGAAATTTGGGATACAGGTAGTTTATATCTTAACGTAGCACATAGGATACTTATTCATTATGTACTGATTCACGTGAGTGAAGCCACGGTATATAGCTGTTTTTAAATATTTCTGATTGGTTATTTTTAAAAAAAAACTATTCTGATAACGCAAAAAATATTAAGGGTTTGTAATAACGAAGCTAGAATAGCAAAGCTATTGTAATACATTAAGAATAGTACTTGAAATCTCAGTAATAAATAAATTATACACATATTTTTATTTTGCATCAAATAATGTACATGTAAAAAATACATATATCTAAGATAGATTCGATCAACCGATTTTTTACGATCCTTACTAGATAAAAAGTTTTTTTACAATTTTAGAAATAGCGATTTTATTTATTCAACATTATATCATTATTAGGTAATGCAAATTTAGGAGATTTTATTTTGTGGTCCTACTAGGCTTTACCCGTGATTTTGTTCGCGTGATCGGGATATGCTTACTGATCAGGATAAAAATTTGCTTATATCCTTTTCGGTCTCATATAGTACCTGTATACTAGAAATGATAAGGTTGTTATAAGGTAACAAACAAACACACATTCACATTTATAATATTAGTATGGATTCGAAGAATTACAAGATTAAGCTACAGAACACGACTTAGTTGATTTGGGGAGCCTTCACTAAGCCTGTTCAAGGTTTTCCTTATTTCTGTGAACCTATTAGTGATGCATATATTTACACAACTTTTGTTTTTTGCCGGCTACATATACGCTTTTTAAAAGATATCACTATTGCCCGTACTTTGTGCATTCATTATAAAAAAAAGAAACATGCTGTTTGTTTATCTAAATTGTTAAACAGGTTTTATAAATGAGGTAAGAAGCACGACTTTCTTATTTGTTTTATAACAAGTGGTAATTACTCCGATTGTAGATTGCAATGGTCGTGTGTTTGAATCTGGAAAAGACCAAAATATATTAAATTTCCGATTAAAAAGTCGACTATTTTCGATTTGAAGGGTGGGGTATGGTAATGAAATTACAGGGTGCGAAAGCATAATACTATGCTCTTCAGGGATGGTGATGCGTAAATATCACGGGCATCACAGTATGTAAGTATTCTGTGACGTCACATTTTGACTATCTGTCAGTAGGTACATAATATATTACGTATATACTTCATAGCAAGCGGTATTACCCTTTCATGAGTACTAATGGTACTCATAATATTTTTTTTTTCCAGGGAGAACGCTATTCTATGATACTGTTGGTACCGCGTGAACGTGACGGCGCAATACCACTCATAAGAGACCTCCCTTATATGAGTCTACCTGAAGTGTGCAAGCAAATGCTACCAACAGACGTTCAACTGTCTATGCCAAAGTTTACCATAGACTATAGTGAAGACATGACTGATGCGTTACGAGCTGTAAGTATTAGTATTCTAAAGAATTAATTAAATATTAACGTGATGATCTCAAATGTATAATAGTAGGGAGTCAGTGAATATAGATGGCTCGGGACTGTTCCTTGTGGCAGTCTATGGGGGAGGTCTATGTTTACCAGAGGGAGACGGTCTAACTGATGGGAAGTGGTTACCGTCGACTATATACATGGTACCACTAATGTTTTTGTATCAATCTTTGCCATTCCTGAGGACTAAGGTGTTATGCCTGCGTACTCTGTAATTTTACAGCCATATTTGTTTACCCTTCTAATCGAAACATAGCCATGTAAACATAGGCATTATAAACTTTTTCATTGCAGAATTATAAGTGGCATAGAGATGTCAGCCGTTAACTGTCTACTGCTGAACATAGGCCTCCCCCATAAGGAAGGTTTTGTTAGAAGTTGCCACGTTTGGCAAGTGGGTTGGTTACTGCAGTTTTTTTTGTTGGGTGAAAATGGTATGGTAACCCCGCTTGCGCTAACCGGATACGCTAGCGGAGCACCAGTGACGGGTGATAGATGAGAATGAAAACAGGCCAGTTAGCCCATCATGATGAATTCATCAGGAATTAACCATGATAGTTTCCAGAGAGAACCGCGAGGAGGTCGACCTGGTTGGGTATATTGCCAGCAATGGGATTTTCAGTTTCCATTACTAACAATCCCTTCCCCCCCTGGTTACAGCAGTTAGGCTTGTGATGTTTTAAGAGGGACGTCCATTCTTCGACCATTAGTACGAGTCTTAAGTCGCCACTTACGACATCCATGCGAAAGGAAGGGGTGGCCCATTCTATACCGGGACCGCCCGGGCTAATTTAATTTTTATTTTATTAATATTACAGATGCGAATCACCTCCATGTTTTCCTCCAAATCTAATCTAACAGGAATGTTCGTTGGAGATTCACCGCAAATAAATGCATTCTTCCATAAAGTGTTCATGAGTGTGGACGAAGTGGGCACTGTCGCTGCTGCAGCTTCGTCCGCTATGGTTGTGCCGTTAATAGCAAATGGAGTTGAGTTAAGGGTGGACAGGCCTTTTGTGTTCTTTATAAAGGACAATAATTTGGGCGTAGTACTCTTTGAAGGGAAGGTCGACGATCCGACGCCTTATGTCGCCTCTAACCTTGTGGTGAAAGGTAAGTTTAGAAAATTTATCCCCTATTACTTACCTTTATCTACTAAATTGTTTTGTTGGTTAACATGATCATCATTATTATCATGATATTAGCTAGTATCTGTCCACTACTGAACATAGCTTTAAAAAAATAAAAAAAAACCCTAGAGTAAAATACTAAATGCCGTGTGGTTCCAACATAGAATAGACCACCCCTTCCTTGTATCGTAAATAACGACTAAGGGAACTTATTGTTCGACGGATGGGCAGCAGCGTCTCTCCTAAAAATCATCAAAAGCCAATCTGCGGTTGCCAACCCGCCTGCGAAACGTGGCAACTACTGCCAAATTCTCGCAATGGTAAACTTTCATAAGGAACGGCTTAGTTTCTTATGACATGGGTGATGAGGGAGGCCTATGTACAGCAATGGACATATAACAGCTGATAACAGTTGATATGATTCTTTTTGTAACTAACATAATTAATGGATCTTAATTTATTTACTTTCTGATCATTGTATTTTTATATTACTTTTATTTATTATTTAATATCTTATTTTATATATAATATGTAATTTCTAATAAATATAATGTTAGTATTTTTTTTTCAGAACCTGTCAAGGACGTCAAATCAAATGCCACAAAAAATAATATAATCAATAAATTGGCAAAGTTGACGTGAGAATAATAGATATAAGTACAGTGGTCATACTGCTGTCATATTCTCGGTAGTCATATAAGTCAGTAATAATAGATCCATAAATTAAAAGTATGAGTATTTTTATAATATAACATTCAATGATGTGACTGTGATAAGTAATCACAGTTTGAAACGTCGTAATAAAATTAATCGATATATACAATTTGTATTTTATTTGTATAAAATCCTGTAAATTAAAGCAATTTAATTGTGTAACGTTTTGCGATGTATGTAAGTAGGAGATATTTAAGAAAAAATGCTATGAGGACATTTTTTTATTGGTGAAATTGGTATGGTAATCTTGCCTACGCTGTATACTGGCGGGGTACCATTGAGAGGTGATAGGGGAGGATGAAAAGGCAGGTCCGTTAGCACATCGTGACGAATTCAACACTAAATTAGTCACGATAGTTTCCAGGGGGTGAACCGCGTGGAGGCCACGTAGAGGTCGACCTGACAGGTCATATTTTTTTTGATGGGTGAAAATGGTATTGTAACCCCGCCTGCGCTAACAGGATACGCTGGCGGAGCACCAGTGAATGGTGATAGATGAGAATGAAAACCGGCCAGTCAGCCCATCATGATGAATTCATCAGGAATTAACCATGATAGTTTCCAGGGGGAACCGCGAGGAGGTCGACCTGGTTGGGTATATTGCTAGCAATGGGATTCTCAGTTTCCATTACTAACAATCCCTTTCCCCCCTGACAGGTCATATTGCTAGCAATAGGACTTCCCCCCAATTTGTTTGGAGTAGGTCTAATGTTAAAAGGCATTCCAGTGTTTAATAGTCTGACTGGCGAAAGAATAAAAGTGAGTCCAGTGGGCAAGAACATGGAGCAGGATATTTCTAGAAGATCGAAGGCTGAGGTTACTAACGTCATTTTTACTTTGTTTCTTATAGATTCTTTATGTTAGGTATGCACATAGGTATAACATTCGAAGTATTCGTGCATTTGTTGATTTTATAGTAATATATTCAGGTGTGTTTGTTTTTAATGTCATTAGTATATTGTTTGGTATTCACCCGGTTATGTCCATCTTATTATCCGGGTCACAGTTGTGTCAACATAAATAAGAATGTGTTATTTTGTATTTGTTTAAAGGTCGTCACACATGGCGAAGATAATAAATAAAAATCTCGTGTCACGAATTCACGGTGTTCATATCACGATAATTTTCGAATATGTTAAATCTATTTTAGTAAAATTATAATATATGTTTTTTTTTTATTGGATGAAGATGGAATGGTAACCCCGCCTGCGCTATTGGTATACGCTGGCGGAGTACCAGTGAAGGGTGACAGGTGAGGATGAAGGCAGGTTAGTTGGCCCATAGTGACTAATTGAACAAGAATTAACCACTATGGTTTCCAGGGAGAACCGCGTGGAGGTCGACCTGATAGAGTGTATTGCTAGCAATGGGACTATTATGTCTCATTACTAACAATGCCTTTTCCTCCTATAATATATGTATGTTGTTTACTTCAATTTGAGTAATAAAATAATTCCAATAAGTGAAAAAAAATAGACACAGTAGGTATAGGGTAATAAAGGACAAAAGAATGTTTGCAGAGTTTGCTATTATTTTGCTCTCTATTACGAATTAATAATTTTAGATTACATACGTCCAGACAATCTTACCTGTCTGTTTGTCCGACCGTCTGTTCATTTATTCCAGCATCAAACAAAAACTACTGCACCAAATTCGATGCGGTTTTTAGAGTTGTATTCATGAAGGTTTTACTTAAAATTTGCTATATGTTTAAACCACACATACGAAGTAGCGGGTAAAAAGCTAATTACATATTATAATTAAAATTAGCTTTCGATTAGAAAGGTTAATAAGCACTTTATGACAGATAAAATTTAATTGCTACGCCATAGATATAAATAAATCATAGATTCTCATTTCCATACAAAAGTACAATTATTAATGTCTCGAATATGAATTAAAAGAAATATATAGTTACTGTAGGAGGATTTTTTTTATTTATTGCAAATATGAAATTCAGAGTCTAAGCGTCAATTGAGTACAAACATAATTTTTTTATTTTATTTAAAAAAGAAATCGATAGCTTTCTTAGAAAATAAATTACATACTAAGCCTCTTAAAAATATAGCCAATAACGGATTTTAATTTAAATCAAATAAAGTAAGTAATAATGAGTATCCATGAAGTTGGTTATTTAATAAACAAATTCAATAAAACCTATGTTGTTGCAGTTTATTTATTAACGAAAGAATGAATGAATGAGTATACTTTATTTGCATTATACAATATAGGATATAAGCAAGGCAATTTACAAACACAACGATACAATTGTATAAGTACATTTTTTCTAAGAAAGTAACAATAATTTAATAATACAGTTGTACTGTAAATACTCGTAATTGTAAAGAACCGTGTGGTCCCAGCATAGAATAGGCCACACCTTTCTTTCACGTGGGTGTCGTAAGAGGCAAATAACGGTTGGCGAGGGATGGGCAGCGGCTGTCCCTTTTAAAGCATCTCCAAAACCTAACCGCCTGCCAAGCATGGTAACTACTCGCAAAACTCCCAAAGGTGGAGGCTTACCATATGTTCAGAAGTGGACAGTTAAAGGCTAATAGGGCGATGAAGAATTATAAAGAGATATAGATGTGTGGGTGGGTAGCACAGTGTAAATTATAAAGTGTAATAATAGTCATTGGATGATTGGAAATGAATGCATCACGTGCATTAGTACGTGACGAAATTCGTTAATATCGTTATATTTTAGTCCTAGTTTTGGGCTCCAATCGTATATCTGATTTTTTTATATATCCATGAGCTACGTGTAAATAGTGCAGTGAAAACAGGAAAGTTGCAATGCGTAGTCAGAGAGTCGATATTACAAACGTGTTCCTATGATAATACTAGACTTTTATAAGTTCTCACTTTTATATTACTTCCTATGTATGTAATAAAAAAAAAAACATTAAATTCAAAGAGAATTTTCAAATATATCCGACTTATTCCAGTTTTTGTGTTACTGGGGGACGATAAGTGTCATTTTCTAACTTTCTAATTATTATTATTATATTATGTATTAGTTAATATTAGTATGACGATCTTAGTACATATATATATATATATATATATATATATATATATATATATATATATATATATATATATATATATATATATATATATATATACTAATGGGATGTGCACTTTATTTTTAAATATTTAAATAACGATGCAGTTTATGTGAAAGTCACTTTCACAGTAAGTGTGTCATTGTTTTACAAATATAATTCGTAAAAAAATGTTACTTACCCATTTAAATCGAGAAAGCCAATATATTTTCAATCGACTTTAATAAGAAGGTGGTATTAAAGTCTAACTGCTGTCAGCGTATGTTATTAGTGGACAATTTGGATTAATGGACACTAACAACAATTTCTTTCAACTCTATTTTGATAAGGGCGACGGTTTTGTAACCCATAAAATTCTGCAGCTTTTTTTTTCATAAAAATAAAACAATTAAGCCTCAACTAAGGACATTGAGGACACGCGACTGGACGGACAGGTATTTGACAATATTGTTTATTTAATTTCTGCGAATGGTGAGCGTAAAAAAAGAATATTGGCCGCACGCGATTCCTACAGTTGGAATGTTTATGTCCCAGTTTTTAACTAACTTTTTTTTTTTTTTTTTTTTTTTTTTTTTTTTTTTTTTTTTTATACAACTTAAAATGGCAAACAAGCTGACGGCCCACCTGATGGAAAGTGGTAACCGTCGCCTATAGACATGAGCAGTACCATGGACATAACAGAGTATACTGTTTCGCCCATGATACCCCCCATGCGATGCCATTCCTGAGGACTCAGGTGTTATTCCTCTGTACCCAGTAAATTCACGCCATATCCCACCCTTCAAACCGAAACACAGCCATGCAAACACAACTGATTCACGGTTGAAATACGAATGGGACAGAGGTACCCACGCAATCGACTTTCGTACAAAGTCTCCCTCTGGTAACTTCAAAAAGAAGAAAGGAATTTATGAATTAAATTGTATCTTTACGTATGTGTTATAGTATATTCGATGAAATAAAAAAAAAGAAGTCACAACAAAGAAAGAAATAGAGAATATAGATTGAATTTTACGTATTATGATAAGGAAATGGTGTTTCATAAAAAAAAATCGACTTAAATATTGGCAAACTCAGTTATTTTGATAAAATTTTTATTGGACCATTCATCATTTCAGTAAAAAAAAAAAATAAGTTGATTTACAATTCACGGAGCTATGAGACAACAAACATAAAAGAAATATAAGCCAATTGAAAACCTTCTTCTTTTTCTCCCTCTTTTTGAAGTCGGTAAAAAAGTAACATAATTTAAAGTCAATGAATATGCTGTAAATAGGTAATTCTAATTGTAACTTTGGAGCTTAGCGTATTTAATTCAATGTATGAAAAAGAGTCCCTTTAAATTGTCACTCTTTTATTTTTTTACAGCAATTTGACAACGTGGACGTATACTGCTATAAACATTATGAGGTATAGTAACTATTGAATAACCTGCAAATAGAGCTAGTTTTGTTGACTAAACAAATAATTAAAAAGTCTTAAAAATATGCATGTTGGGTACTCTGCGTAGATCTACAGGGACTTTATTCCAGAGGCTGATAGCAGTGTCGGTAAAAAAAATTGGACATAAAACCGGAATGGTGTGATGGGATTATTAAATTACATCAAAAAGAAAAATCATCATAAAAATATATGTACATCATTATCCACCTCTATGATTGACTAACAAGTGATTAGCAATTGACAATATTAATAGAAAAAACTGATCGTATATACTAAACAATAGACAAAGGAAATTAAGATGGAAATAGTGGGGGTAACATTGACCCAGTACGTGCAATGCTAAATTGGTAATTATTAAATCTCCTAAACAAACTATTTCTTACTAAATAATACTAGAGGGAGACTTTGTACAAAAATCGTTTGCTTGGGTACCTCTATCCCGTTCGTGTTTCTACCGTGAAGCAGTTGTGTTTGCATGGCTGTGTTTCGGTTTGAAGGGTGGGATATGGCAGTGAATTTACAGGGTACAGAGGAATAACACCTTAGTCCTCGAGAATGGCAACGAATGAGTATCATGGGCGAAACAGTACACTCTGTTATGTTCATGGTACTGCTCATGTCTATAGGCGACGGATACCACTTTCCATCAGGTGGGCCGTCAGCTTGTTTGCCATTCTAAGTTGTATAAAAAAAAAAAGTATGAACATGACTCTATAGATATAATATCATGTGAATATTTCCAGTTACAGTGTAAATCCATAAAAGGAGTAAAGAAATTATCCAACTTGTTGACTAGATTAAAAGGAAATCTGTAAACGTTGTTTAGTTTGTGATTATTAATGAACTTTCTTCATAGTATTAGAAAAAAAGTGTACGCTGAATTAGTGTATATTGATTATATTATGTATTGTTATTTGGGTGATGAACGATTGAATTGTTACACTGTTAAAAGATATCAAATAAACAAACTCATTTTTACATTTACAATATTAGCAAGGATTTGAAAACTATTTTAATTGTTCAGTTGATTTGAATTATTGAATTCCGCTACTATTAGTATGCACGCGACTGCCAACATTTGAGGATTGATTGTTAATTAGTAGAAGTTCTACAACATTTCCTATTAGTCATCAAACTGAGCGCGGTATTAAACAAAATAATCCTAATCAACTAACCAGTGATATGGACTACTGTAAAAATAACATCTAATTCATTGAAACTATTTTAAAATGCATAATTTTATATAAAAATTTATTTTTTGACAGCTCAATCCAAGGGGATATGAATCCACATTTCTCTGTCGAGTCAAGCGTAATGTCGTTTCAAAAAGTAGTTCAGAAATTTGTCAATGGATAATATTTCTTCCGTAGTGTGACTAGGAATGCACTTTTATGTTTAATATCACAGCTCAGGCTGAGTACATCATTAAGAGACGATCGACCGTTAATCTAATTAAGTTTTAATGAAAAGGTTAATTAAAATATATTTTCCATTAAAAATTAGATTAATTAATATACATATTCACTTAAATTAAGTTTAATGTTGTCCTAAATGTCATTTCTACCATATACCTATGCAGTTTTCATCATAGTAAGCACATACTATGATTTCCCATGAAATATCGGAGCACGGCGATGAACTATGAATCAAATAGAACTGACAAATATAATAAAATTAGCTATACCCGCTTCGTTCGAGTGTTCGGGATGTATTCATTGACTGTGATAAGAGGAAGCCTATATCCTTACATTATATCCTTCTTTATTCCTTATAATATATATATATATATATATATATATATATATATATATATATCAAATTTCATGGTGAAACGTTAAGTTCTTAAGTCGCTAAGAGGTAATTAACAAATCTTAAAAAGATACAAACAAATACGAAGAAAAATTATAACAGAATGAAATGATAAGCTATAATAATGATACGTAGCGAATAATATTTCTGGAATATAAAGAATTTCTGAAAATAGTCCATGTGTCACTGACAATGTAGTTTTTTATAGATGAAAGAATTTTTAAACTCGAAATATTAGTATATAAGTATAGATTCAAAACTAATCTGTATGAGTTATTTATACTTTTTAATATTTTAAAATTTTAATTTAATTAAATTTTAAAATTTTATTTTAATTTTAATATTTTAAGTAGGTCAGTTGTTAGTAACTCGAAAATATTGCAAACAAATTAAGAAGATTAAATTTGATTGAAAAGCTTTATATTCAAGTATATTCGTTGATGTTTTAAAAAAATCTTTAAAAAATAAATTGAATCAGCTTTATTATTAGAGACTTCTAAATATTATATTGAATTCTCGTATGCTGGGACGACTCTATTCTTACTGTGGTTTCTTCAAATATAACTGTTAAATGTCTAGATATAAACGCAGTAAGCCGGCTTCCGCGAACGTCACTCTACTTGAGGACGGCGCATGCGCGGTCGTTTCCCGCGCTTTTTTGACGTTTCACGTTTTTAATAAAATCTACCGGCAGTGTTTATTTTTTTAATTAGTGTGCATCGGTGTTACAATCGGACAGTTTTATACCATGTAAGTTGGAATAGGTCATTGACTTTGTATTATTTAGGTCATGTTGGCATTGTTGTGGACAATTTAACGGGCCTTTATGGTTGGCATTTAAAAGTTGTTTACTATAGCAGTTTACGAGAGATTACGTCACCGAATGACAATTCCAAACATTCAAATACTTTGTCTTGAAAAAGATTAAAATATAGTTTACTTATTAATTAATTATTTAGGTAAAAAAGAAATAGGTACTTAATTTTTAGCAGTTTTTAACTTGCAATTGATAGATACCTAAGAGTTGTTTATATTTTCTAATATTATATGTTGTAAATAATAGCTAAGATTAAGTATATAAATAAATATTTGTTATTTATAACATTTTGAAGACAGTTACTATGATAGCCGGATAGCAATAAAATGATAAAAAAATATCCCACTAAATGTGTCCTTGTAGAACGGGTTTTAAAACAAACTTTCGATAGGTAATTATGCGTTAAGTTTTTGATAGTCTGCGCAGTTGTGTGTAATCCGAAACAAACATCAAATATTTGATTATAAAAATTTGTTTTTTTTTTGCAGTGAACAAAGGAAGAATCAAGTTGTGAGAAATGCGCCAGTACTTATGCGGTAAGTGAAGAAATAAGTATTCTATCTTAGGTCTATCTACTTAGTTACATTCTTGTTTATACTTTGAAAGATTTTAAGAACATCTTATTTTTTTGTGTAAAATATTATCTTCGCCAATTCTTAACTGATTTTAACAGTTCTTTTTATAATCGACAGGGTTTAATTCCGTATTGATCTCATATTATTTTCTGAGGAGTAATGCTTTCATTTTGTTTTTTGAAGCAAAATGTTATTGGTTGAAACTAAATGGTGACGCACTAGTGTCACAGTGTAATTTATAATATCCATGGTGGGATTTATATCCATAGATAATAGTTACCACTTTCACGGTTATCAAGTGAGCTAGTGTTGTTTACCATTCTATGTTGTATGAGTACATAAAAAAATAAAAATAATAACTTAAACAGAGTAGAATTGAACCTGTTAGCCGTACGTAAAATTAAAAATCAGCTAATATGCTGTTGTGGCGTCTGTACCTAATTAAATATTGTACATATTATTCTTATAGCCAATTGTAAACATCATTAGTCTCTTTTCCATCAAGTAGGCTAATTGCACATAAATATTTCACCTCTTTCTTTTTAACTGTCCGTGTAGATATGACAGCGACTTTTTTTTTCTTATATAGTGGCATTCACCCCGATATTAGGATATTTTGGCAAAAACAAAACAGAGAAATGATAGTAAAAATAAAAAATACCAATCTTAAATAAATTTGGAAAGGATAAGGATTAGGTCTAGGGTGTTTATAGGATATATAGGATAGAACATATACATATGAAAATATACTTATAGATATTTAAGAGAAGTAATTGATACAACTATAAATGTTTAATTTTAAACTTTCGCGTTGTTTAAATATATTTTAAATACACAAACGGGACTTAACGCGATGTAAAAACGTTACAGATGTTTAGAGACAAATTGTATCTACATACCTGCTTCTTTATAGCCTTTTTTTATTTTACCTGCAAAAGCTTTTACATCATGTTAAGTCCCGATTGTGTATTTAAAATAACTATAAATGTATTATCTTCTTACATACATTTTCGCTCTGTTCTTCTTTCTGTCTTGATCGCTCGCCTTGTACGCCTTTTTACTAAATTTATATTTTTCTATCTATTTACCTGTTTAATTGTAAATACCTTCTGAATATATTATGTGTAAATAAACAAAGCTAGTTGTTTTTGCTATCTATATAATCTAGAATACAAATACGACAAAATATTTTGTGCCTTCATTTGGACACGATGCCTTAGATTGGGATGCTCAAACTTATTGTTTTTTCGATCTATTTTTATGTTTTTTTTTTTTAGTGAAAAAGTTCAGATTCGTTAGTAGATCACTATATAAAAAGAATAATTACGATTTTATTTACCTGTATAAGTATATAAATTATAAAAAAAATTGTATTGTAGTAAAATTTCTATTAAAGAAATACTGCTATAAATAGATAGGTATTTGTGGAGTTCAGGGCCAACTTATACTAAACACTGGCTTTTACCATCACTTTTACGTCATAAGAGGAAGCTACTTCCTTGCATCCTAATTTAAAACAATCAGTAAACGCGAATTCAACTTGACTATAGGGTTCTATAGATGTTTATCTACTTTTTTATTATATTGTTTAATAAATGCTTTTATTTTTAAGAACCCTTAGTTCTTCATTATCACTACATAGTATAAAACAAAGTCGCTGTCGCTATCTGTCCGTCCCTATGTATGCTTAAATTTTGAAAACTACGTAACGGATTTTGAAGCGTTTTTTTTTAATAGATAAAGTGATTCAAGAGGAAGGTTTATATGTATAATACATACATAATATTGTAGAGAAACATTGACAAATTTAGAGGTTTCTAATGTGACGTGATATAATGTGTACCCGCGCGAAGCCGGGGCGGGTCGCTAGTAAAAATATAAAATGAATAACAATATTTTTATTTGCATAAAGTATTTGGCTTAATCAATTGCGGCAAGATTTTGAAAAATTGGTTCACAACAAAAATGGTTAAATATTGATTTTGTGTTTGTTTGTTTATTACAAAATGTCTTCGCCAATATTAAATAGATTTTTTTTAATTGGATGAAAATGGATTGATCATATTTGTGTTATTCATTTGCGCTGATGGGGTACCGGTGAGGGATGACAAGTGATGATGGAGTCAGGTCAACTGGTTTATTGTGTCTAATTTATTAGGAATTTACCACGATAATTTTTAGGGAACCGTGGTTAGCTGGAGGATTTTTGTAATGGATTCAGTAGTTCCCATTCCTAACTATCGCTCTCTTCTTCTTTTGGAACACTATTCGATATTACTAGTTGTATTTCGTGACTTTGCCATGAATTAGTTCATAAAGTATCCTATGTTTTAATGTATCAAATTTTATTCAATTTTGTTTTTACGTGAAAGAGTATGAAACATTCATCCATACACACTCATAGTTACTTTTATGTATTTTTTTGTGAATATATTCTTTAATCTCTTTTAATTGTGTATGTCTATCTATATCTGTTGTGACTTGTAGACTGTAAGTAATGAAAATTATCTATCTTGCTATCTAAATTTAGTACGATAAAAAGAATAGGCATTTATTACTTAAAAGTTGACAGGTAGAGGACGCCTATATAATTAAATTTGCCTTTTGTACTATACTTTATTGGTCAATAAAGTTTAAATAAATAAGTAAATAGGTAGATACTTATGTTGGACAAAAATTGTCATTCAATATACTTTTATATACAAATAGCGATGGCAATTTGTTTGTATATATTATGTTAGACGCCGTGAGCTCATCGCTAAGTCAAAGGTTCAAGTGACACCTAGTAGTTGTGTCACGGTTATGACACGCTTTAGAAACTCTTTAAGACACATTTAAATTTTACGAAAAACTAGCTTTTCCCGCGACTTCGTTTGTATGACGAAGTCAAATGCCAAATGATATGTATATACCAAACTTAATAGCGATTGATTGAGCGGTTCAGGTGTTAAGAAGTAATAAACGAACAAATTAATATTTCGCGTTAACGGGATATGATCGCTGACCGGGATAAAAAAATCTAGTCTATGGTATATTCTTCTTCATTCCATATAGTACACGCATATCAAATTTCATATTGATTAGTTAAGCCGTTAAGACGCTAAGAGGTAACAAACGACCAAACTTACTTACACATTTATAATAATTCCTACTAAGTATTAAAAAGGATTTAAAGTAATTTTTAATGTTATAAATACTAGCTATATGTAGCTTTTATAAAGTTTGATTTAATTTAATAAATAGATGCTTAATTTGAATCTTTTAAAGCGTTGTTTATACATATTTTAAATACACTATGAGAACTTTTTGTAGGTATCCGCTACATACCAGATAGATACAGCAGCTACTTATATGCCTGCTTCTTTATTGCCAACGTAATTGTAAACGTTGCGTTAAGTCCCGATAGTGTATTTAAAACAAATATATGCTTATGCTGCGCCTTCGTCTGAATTTCCGCTTGTTCATAAAATACTAGGTTTTATACGTGACTTACATAAATATGTGACCGGAATATATGGCTTGGCCGGAATTAAAAGTAGCCTAAGTAAAATACTACGTGTGTTTACACATAGTATTTTAAAATTTTAGACCGATTAGTTAGTTTGTTAAGAAGTCAAGATGTAACAAACAAATATACACAGTTATAGTCAATTCCTATTATTTTCCTATTAATTTTAGAAATGGTAAAGTTTGTAAAGGTGAATGAGTGGATATTTTACTAAACTAGGTGTTATTCTACAGAAGTCTATATTGCTTAGATAGCTTTTCGCTTATCGCTTTATTTGATTAGAATTATTTTGTTTAATTCCGCTACCATTTTTTTTTTGATGGGTGAAAATGGTATGGTAACCCCGCCTGCGCTAACGGGATACGCTGGCGGAGCACCAGTGAAGGGTGATAGATGAGAATGAAAACAGGCCAGTTAGCCCATCATGATGAATTCATCAGAAATTAACCATGATAGTTTCCAGGGAGAACCGCGAGGAAGTCGACCTGGTTGGGTATATTGCTAGCAATGGGATTCTCAGTCTCCATTACTAACAATCCCTTTCCCCGCATTCCGCTATCATTAGTATGCGGGCGAATAATCTATACTTATAATAAATCTGTAGAGAGCTCAATTCTGTACATGAAATATATTTCCAAAATAATTATCACGGGGTGATTAGTGATCGATACGGATGCCAAAAATGCAATCTATAAAATTTTTATCTGTCTGCCTGTCTGTCTGTCTGTATGTTCGTTATAGAAACAAAAACTAGTCGACGAATTTTAACGAAACTTGGTACAATTATTCTTCATACTCCTGGGCAGGTTATAGTATACTTTTCATCACGCTACGATTAATAGGACTAGAGCAGTGAAGGGAAATGTTGGGAAAACGGGAGAAGTTACTCCATTTTTAAGCTACCGTCGCGTGTGCAGCTTTAATGGCCACTTTTTAAAATATAAAAATGTCCACCCGTTCGACGCCGGGACGGGCCGCTAGTAATAAATAATATTAATAGTAGTAAATCTTCGAGTGTTGGCAGTCGCACACATACTAATGGTAGCGGAATTAAACAAATAACTAGTGGACGAAATAATGTTTGTTAATTTTTCACCATAAAACTACTGAATAAATTTGGTTATATCCTAACTTAGTACATAGGATACATTATGTACTAATGTACGTTGATGAAAGTTATAGAATGTTGATCTTCATCATCATATCAGCTTTTAACTGTCCACTGCTGAATATAAGCCTCAATCTAGGGGAGTTTTGCTAGTAGTTGCCACGTTTGGCAGACGGCTTGGTTGCCAAGCGATTAGGCGTTGGAGATGTTTTAAGACGGACGCTGCTGCTTATCCCTCGCCCTCCTTTAGTCGCCTCTTACGACACCCACGGGAAAGGAAGGGGTGGCCTATTCTATACCAGCACCACATGGGATAGAATGCAGAATATTAAGTATACTCGTATG